GATTTGATTTTTGCATTATCAGATAGATTAATTATTTGAAAGAGCTCGGTTTGATTCGTTTTAAGTTGTATGGTCTGTAAAACAGAGATGGATTCTGTATCCGAGTTGTCATTTTCATCATGTTCAGTGTTCTGAAATACCATAGAACAAATATCAATAAAGTTGGCTATGAATGAATGTCTAATGGGAAAAACTGTCACAAGGAAAGCTTTTCATGGATTATAGACCTAGATCAATACGAACATGGCTCCGGATATCAATATTTCAAATGCTTTACATGTGGTTCTTTGGATCTGCTCATGCGATTTATTTTTGTTAACCAAAAAGTTATTTTTATGAACCAAAACTTGTGTATACCAAAGTCTCGTCTAATCACCGATATATACATGTCGGTTCACTTGTTTACAGAATACCAACCTACCTGTTGCGGTAAAAATCCCTGGATAATTGGTCGATCTTGATCTGGTATCGAGGGAGAGAGGCCTATGAAATATTAAACATATTATTACAATAGGATAACCGCAAATGTTTGGTTTAGATCAAGAGATTCGAAAACATGCATATGATAAATGCATGAGCACTAAAGCTTAATAGAAATGAAATAAAATCGAGTTTAACGTCCTACTGTTCTTCTCTGAACTGGGCTAATGAAGACGGGCATATGCCATACAATGAGCTATGATTGAAATTTTGCCCGAATAGCGGCACTACGGCCTACTCTTATATCGAATTCCAACTGTCAAAGGATCTTTTACGTGCACGCCAATGTGTACACGGGAAGTCGGTTTTTCGTCCCTTCCGAATGATTAGGCAGCTGTCCTTGTCAGGGACTCCGTCCTGCATCGTTGACAAGGAAAAACAACACCGGAAAATCTGGATGAACTTTCTCGGCCAATGCAGGGGTTGAACACCCGACCTCCAGGCTAGCGAGCCAGCGTCTTACCCACTTAGCCAACGAGCCGACTAGACATCCCACGTCAAATTTTGATTTGCGGTAAGTCTCACTTGAACTAATAAAATGAAAACCTCAGTTTAAGTGAAGATATACAACCGTATCGTGTAAAACTGAAAAGTTGGTTAATAAACTTACATTCGTCTGGACATAATTCTTTCTTTTCCGGAGATACCTTATTCTGTATTTTAAGTCTGAAATATAACACAATCAGTTACGGTACTAGTATCTGGGTAATTCCACGACAAACTTTACATTTGGGTGAAAAATTACAAAATGGTGTTTTATTATGAGAAATAATCTATAATTTGAAGACAGCAGCATTTTGGGCGGAAATTCTTCCAAATGTCAGGCCATCACTAACTGGCAACCCGACTGTTGTCTGCTAGCTTATTGTGTACTAGCTTGACTGAGGGAGCGGTTGTTATGTCTTGTTCAAATGGTTAGGCGGTTTGGGAAACATATTTACCAAATATTTACATGTTTTGTTTCTCTCTTATTCACATGTATGGTTGATCATAAAAAGAAAACATTTGCCTAAATTCTTAGAATAACTTGGGGTTTCACAGATGTACGTCAGCTACTTTTCACAGTATGTGCGTCTGTTACCAAAATCTGAGGGCCAAGGCCACTAAACAGGAACTGACTTAATGGCGGGAAAAACATTCTTTGGCCGGAAAAAAGCCTAAATCAATGTTTTGTTTGTCTGTGTGATTTTATCTTTTGATCTAATGTTGACCTTCAAATTGCATTTTAATCTTTGAAACATGGAGACCACGGTGCAAAGAATCAGAAGACAAGAAGTTGATTTTTTTTCCCCTACAGGACAGGCCCATCCCTTTTGCTTGTGAATAGACCTGTCCAGCAATCACATGTGTTTGGATACTATAAACTATTGAGGGGGGGGGGGGGTCGAGTGGTCTAACGCGCGCACTTTAGATTTTAAAGTCTGTCTTTGAGTCTGGTTTCGACCCCACGCTTGTGCGTGAGAAGGACTGTGGTCGTTACCCAATCTGTGGGTCCCGAAATGTCATGATCTAGTGGATGTTAACTCACTCCCCTCCATCCCCCCTCTCTCTTGCTTCCTCAATAGACAAATCAATGTAAATTTGACCGAACAAAATAAAATTGAAGTTTTTAAACACTAGGACAAAGAAACCTCCATTAACCCCTGGAGAAAAGCAAAAACTGTATCGCGAACGTTTTTCTGAACAGATCGAACAAATAGATAGAGAAAGAAAGGAATACGTCTAATTTGCAGTATGGCACTATTATGTTGAGAGAATACAAACTGAAAGAAAATCGGGAATACAGAAAATCTTTTACATGTTATTTTTTACATTAATGCTTTACAATAATTCATTTCCTAATGTAGATGAATTATTGTAAAGCATTAATATTTTTAAGAAAGTTTATACAACAAATTGTTTAGAATTGGTGGCTTTGTATTATATTTATTTGTTACATAATAAATTATTTTCACTGTGAAAATATTGCAAACTTTGATCCCTACAAATGTAATCTCAATTCCAGTGTGTGGTTATGGAGATAGTAGATTTCTAGTTGATGTATATAAGGATTTCTAGAATATATTTTAACATTAAACAGTTAATTAATAAGAAAACATATGTCCGTTACCACAATAATTTCTAATTTACTGGATTACAAGACACCAAATGTGTTCTTTCTAACAGGGAAGAAATTTTTTTAGTTCCACAGGACAATTCACAGAGATTTTCAATTATGTCCATGTATGCAAATCATGGTGTTCATCTATATACGTCCGTTGCCTTTATTGGTACTATCAGGGGCCAATATTTATTTCCGGTGTTTATGAACAAATAAAATCATGTGTCAATGGATACTTAAAACACCTTCAATGCTATATCAAACCCAAATATGGTTAAATAATATTGGAACTAATTGGAAGTAATAAAAATATGAAGAGTTTAAAATAACGTCCGACCTCTTACCCTGGAATTGCCTATTTACAAACCCTAAAGTAATATAAAGTAAGTTTTCACCAGAATATTACCTGTGGATTTCAGTGAATACAACATGTTCTGTGGATCCAACTGTTGTATCACTAACATGAGACATTATGTCGCTGTCATCAACATCTGTTTCAGCTTCCTCCATTATCTGTGTTAAACTAATGAGATATAAAACAAAAACTACGTCAAACTGGTAGGCTACGAAGTTTAATAAAGGCGTCTTGAGCAGTTTCTCAGATGTGATTCGGCACAACTACTGTAATATATAATGTGTGTACAAAATTTTGATGTAATGGAAGGGGTGGAACTGGAAGCAGAGAAGGGCATATACTCGTTCGGCGTAGGATAATTAGATATATATTATGTTATTGGATATGCTTATACCCTAAAAAATATAACAAATAAAATTTCAACCTGTGTAGGCCTACTTATCCAATTAGCGTAGGCCTACATTTACTCTTCCTAGCTCTGAGCTGTGCGTACAGTCAGAGAGAGAGAGAGAAAGAAATGGGGTTTAACGTCCACTCGACACAAACTAGGTCATTTCGGGACTAACATGATTTAATTTTATTTCAATAATTCGCTTGTGCGTAGGGATCTTAAGCAGTGGGAGGAAAGCGGAGGACCCGGAGAAAACTCACGAGGTTGGACAGGCGACCCTACTCCTTGTCACGTACAACCGGGGAATCGAAACCACGCCAGTTGACTAAATACTAAATGACAGACTTTATGGTTTAGCGCGCACGTGCTAACCATTCAGCCATCCAACCCCCCCGCGTACAGTCAGTTGGTCTGGGCCAATTGATTGGCGGATTGCGTATTCTTACCAGGCCCATAACTAAGCGGGGGGGGGGGGGGCATAGATATACATTGTCCGTCAATTTTACAGCACCTCTGAGAACACTCCCCCCCTCCCCACCGATTTTTACAACACATCTCATTAGGCCTAGGCCTACCCACTTTTTGTAGTTTGATGTTTGTGGGGATAGGCCTATTCAAATAGGCTACTGCCACGTTGAAATCCATTGTACGGTTTCTAAGTAGGCCTAGTACTAGTAGGGGATATAAAGACATAATCTACAGGTGTGTGGGTTGAGGAATAATACTGTAGCGGGACTGTTATCTCCCCCACGAAAGTCACGTTATGAACTGCAAGGAAAGACAATTCTGCTTGGGAGACTATGAATAAATAACAGTGTGTATTCCGCCCGAGTAGACAAATCTAAGAATAAATAAATTAATGCAACACCAGTTCAACACACGTGGAAGTCTTTCCCGCCTTTAAGCTAATTAAGGGGAGGTAAGTCACCTATCATTTGATGGTCTAAGACCAGTAATTCAGGTTTATATATTTATAAGCAAATGTTTCTTTTTTCCTTTCCTTGCTTTTGCAATGTCATTTCTGGTAACTATTTGTTACTTGGGAAAAAAATAGACATAAATTAGGGAAATCACCTGCCATAAGGACGTCTCTTTTGTAAGACCGCTTGGGAGGTTTACGAAAAATTTATCTATCTGGGATATCAATAATGTAACGTCTAAACGTATCCCTAGCCAATGAAAGAAATATAGGTGCAAATCTTGTTTTACAAAGCATTTCTTTAATGACCAATGCACCAGCTATCCATTCCAAATGTCTTGTTTTTTCGGTGGATAAGAAAACTCTTATCCACTTCTTCCATGTTCATTTTTCTAGTCAACAAATTCTTACCAATTTTAAACACGGATTCACTTACGAGGATGTTCTTGTATTGGCCAAGAATGTTTCTCGAGATTTACCATTTGGTTTCGACTGTCAGTGGTGCAGAAATTAGCATGGAAAAATGTTCAGCCATTCTGGTCAAATGAAAAGTGAGGTCAACCCGTGCATATGAATGGACCCAGGACAGTAATACAATAAAGAGTGGGTGGACGGTTCGACGGAATTTCCCTCATAACAAACTGCATGTTGTATGTCTGACTTCATTAGCCCGATCGGTTCAGCAAAGTAGGATTTTACACCCCATTTCATTTTATAAACACAGTGAAAAAACAAAATTCTAGTCTAACAAAAATAATTTTTCATAATTTTTATTCTGATCATGTCACAAATATCACTGTTCCCAACAGTAAATTTCACATAAAAACCTTCATATCACGCATACTGAATAAAACTCATCAGTTTTAAAATCTTTCATAAAATTTGTCATTTACAGAGATTCCATTATACAACCTTTATATACCTGTACTTAAAAGAACCTCAACCATATTAAGTTCAAAGCCAATAAAATATTTCCTTACTTACTCCTTATAGCAAAATATGAAAATATTGGTAATATTCAATAGTATGTTCATCTAAAATAGCTTGTCAGCTGATCCACTAGCATTTTTTCATCAATATGCTGCAGCTGCAGGTATGTATTTTCATTCATTTATATGAGTATCAAAGGTAATTATTAGTTTTTTAAAATTGCCTCATAAGTAAAATTGCAAATTTGTGAATTCTTAGAAAGTTTCAAAAGTCGACAGAGCTAATGAATATGGCCATACTTCTGATAATCCATAAAAGAAACAACTTATGAAGATGATACGTAATTGGAGCTTTTCTTACGGAAAGTAGCAAACTCCTCAGTTAAAAAAAAATACATCATTTTCCATGGGTTATTCCCTGTCATTTGTTTATACTTAATACTTTATAACCCTGGCTAAGATGGTTGAAGTTCTTTTACAAGTGGTTCCACCCATATTTTGTTTATTAATATTAGAAATATTAGCTGTGAAAAAGCTTTAAAGTTTTATTATTAGGAATTTAAAACAGTAGAAGAAAAGGCCCATTAACCATTTAGTATATCTATCTCAAGACATTGAAAGAAACATTGATTTCCAAATACAGCTTCAAGATTCAACAATTGAAAGAGAAAACCATGGATTGTAATTGGCATTAAGGTTTCTCTAAATGTGTCATTCTCACATCAAGATATTATGATAAATGCCTAATATACAATATTAAGCAAAGAAAAGTTGAAATGAGTTTTATAAATTTGTAATTATAATGTTGTAGAAAAAAAAAAGACCAGCTTTAACCATTCAAAAACGGTAACTAGAATGGTTGCCATCTAAAATATATTTCATTATAAAAAGAGAAACTAAACACCTGTAGCTCTCATATTAAAAAAGAAGGAACATTTTGTTTTGAAGTTACAAAAACAGTTAGATACAATGAAAAAGGACATTATGACAAGGCTCAATATTAAAATGTAATATCGCACATCATAAGCTTACGTCATGTCAAATAGGGATAATCTATTCAAATGAACTGTAGGCCCACTGTTATTATTTCAAGTTAGTATTGTTTTTCAAATACTAGAGTATATTTTAAAGAGATCTATTACAGAGTACTGCAGAGTTTCTTAGGAAGTTATTCTTGATGACTGCTAATGTTATATTTTAAACAGCATATTTACCATCAATAATAGTTATCATTAATGACTCCCAAAAGAAAACTATACAAAGTTTACAACAGATATTGTAATTATTTTCACTATATGACATATAGAATTTAGTCACTTTCATTCATTCATTCATAATTACACTCCAGTACACATCTATCATAGGTTATCATCAAATAATTCTTGTATTTAATTAAATATATCACTACCAATAATAGTATCCAATACTACACATGATCTAATCTGTAATATTGGTAGTTAAAATACTCTTTATCTTGCTATGTCCGACACAAATAATCACACAATGCTTTTAATGTAATATAAACGTTGTGGTTGTGTGATAATTTGTGCCCGACATCTGTAACAGGTGCCTTATGTCCAGGCTTGTATATAAATATGTTGTGTGATAATTTGTATTTGACAGGTGCCTTATGTCCAGGCTTGCTTATGCCAGGTTCCCACTATCACAATTCGCGCTACGATTGAAATCCTGGAGTAATCGTGGTGATCCTATCAGGTCTTATCATGTATTGAGGTCAGTTGTAGCAACCATTTTGATCCTATCGAAACGTATCTGCACATACCAGACTGTGGATTCATTAGGGACAATCCTATCGTAACGCATCGCAGGACAGTGGGGAACTTAGCATTAACAATAAAAGTAGCATCCGATAGATTATTCAGATGCTCACTGAAAGGCTTACTTGCTCTCTATTAGGCCTGAGCTAATGTAAAGATCACCAAATGAAATCTGTCCCAAATACGAACTGAGCTATCAGATTAAGTGTTCAGAAAGATTTTGTATGAACTTACTATGGATATAGCAACATGATGGTCAAATATATTAGGATGTATATCTAATTTACTATGCTATACAATAAACTACCTTGAACCCTATTCCTTGATAGTGTTACCACGACTACAAACTATAAACAAAATGCTGATGATATAACAACAATATTTAAGCCAACAAAAGGTACAATAAATATATTAACTAAAAGTCTATATAACAGCCACAGGACAAACACAGAGTTGAAAGTGGAAAGTATGACAAAGTTACGTAGGGCTGGATTATTAAATTATGAATAATAGTTGTTAGACACTTATTAACATAACAAATATTCTTCCTATCGTATACGAGTAAATAAATTAAGGACAGACTTCGATTCCTGAAAAAGACAAAAAGATAAAAGTAAAACCTTTAAAAAAATTAAGCTCACACATATAAATAACTGAATTACGGTCGAAATAAATTTTAATTTATTTTCAAGGATTATTTTAAAGGTTTATGGTGTGTTCATATTTTTCAACAATAATTTGATAAATACTAAAATTTATTGCTTGAGACCATTTCAGGTTGTAGTCATGAGTGCAGTTTAGGGCTTATCAAGTATTTGTTATTTGCTGCTACTGTTTAATTGTGATCACTGTTCAGACAACACAGGTAAGTAAGTATAAAAATCTGGATCAAATTAAGCTTAATTCATCATTGTTTATATCGTGTTCCTAGCATTTAAAAGATAAACAAATTAATTATTTTTAAAATAAATTAATTACCTTTGTGGATCTAGTTTTACTAAATACATTCCAGAACCGTAGAGTTTCATCTCCTGCACCCGTTACAATAGCTTCTCCATCGGGTGACATTGCCTAGTAATAGATTTTTACAAATTAAACATACCGATATTTCAAATTGTTATCATTAAAAATGCTCAAACTGATTACATCTTGATTCATATATAGCATACCCTGTAAGCAATGTTACAGTTCACTAAATCATGGAAGTTAAATGGCATCATTGTAAGGTATACACAAATTTAATTACTAGACTATCAAATATCCTGCCACACAATTATTTGATGTCCATGGTTTATAACCAATAGCCACAAACCGCCTTTTAAACAAATGCTATGTATTATGTGTGCAATTCCCCAAGAAAACTAGACTGAGATTACGGAGACATTAGTTTAACATTTTATACATCCAAAACAAAAACAAACACTTACTAAATATAAAACTCTGTAAGTATGACCAGTTAATTTCGATATTTGCACTAAAGATGGATATTTCCATACCAGTATTTGATTTTGTGAATAACCATGGGTGCTAACCTGAAAAAATATTTTTTTTAGATATAATAAAATTACTGACAATCAAAATTGGTCCTTTAGGTAAGTTCCAGACATAAGACCAAACCCAAAGCTTCTAAAAGATCAGAAGAGTAAGAATGATAAACAGTACAGAGCAGAATGTGTACATTTAAAGGCCTATTCCTCATATATGAACAAATTAAAATGAGTATTATTATTATTTTGCTTGGTATTTAGGATTGTAGAGTAGTCTGTACTATGTATATCAGTTGTAATGAGTTTATAACACACCTGAGAAATAATTTACTGAAAGAAGATTGACAGTTTATGTAGAAACCAGTCCGTTTCAAAATGTTGAAGCAGATAAACTACACAAATATTTGTTGAGAAGTGACAAGAGAGGGAGAGAGACATGGGGTTTAATGTCAACTCGACACAACTAGGTCATTTCGGGACTAATGTATGGTTCAATTTTATTTCAACAATTTGCTTGCACGTAGGGTTCTTTAGCAGTGGGAGGAAACCGGAGGACCTGGAGAAAACCCTCGAGGTTGGACAGGCGACCTTACTCCTTTCCACGTACAATCTGGGAATCGAAACCACGTCAATTAACCCAATGACAGACCTTATGAAACAGCGCGCATGCGCTAACCATTCAGCCATCCAACCCCTCTGTATCTCAGTGTTTTATTAATCTTTTTAAGACATGTCGGGCACAAAATTAAATATGTCTGTTAGAACTTCAATCAATAGCGCCTGACATTTTGTCAGAATCTAAAAAAAATATTTCACAAGATCTTGTAAATACCAACACGAATGAAATATAGAATTATTTTTAGAACCTACCACTTCATTTGAATGTTTAGACCACGCTAAATTACACACTTGTGAACCTGTATCTACACATTGTAATGGTTGACCCGTCAAAGTATTCCAGAATCTAATACATCTATCAGCTGTACCACCACCACTAGCTAATAAACCGTGTTGATGAGGTGACCACGCTATGGCTTTAACTGCTGCTAGATGTTCTGTGTATGTCTGTACTGGTGTAACACTAGTCATATTCCACACATAAAGTTTATTATCATTACCACCAGATGCTAAATGTTGATGATCTGGTGACCACTTTAAACCACAAACCTACAAAATTCAACTACATTTAGTAATCTATTTCAATTATCAAAATTTCATTATGTGTCATGAACTAAACTATTATTTTTAACTAAATTTAGAATTCTAATAACGAATGAAACTGTTGATTAGAGAAAAACTGCTAAAAACTAAACGGTGAGGCAGGAAGTAATCTGTGTAGCTACTGCCTTCTCTAGAATCTAAAGATACTTGGCGGATCAGTGAGTAATCTTGAACAAATAAGTAAAGGATCCCCTAACCCAAGAAGAACAGAGGCTATGTTGATAAGATTAGTTTTTAATAAGGAAGACAATATCTGATAATATAGGTAAATATTCAGACTATAGAAACAAGGTCACTGGAAACACTAAAGTCACTGGAGGCTAGTGCTCCTACGACTAGTCGGATAGCCGTAAACGGTTAGAACTGGACGGTTAAACGGTTTGAATTCAACGGTACGGTTATTCGGAGATGTCCCCCATTACATAGAGTTGTGTCTGATTATATTCCTCTTTATAACAAAACTTGCCCGTTGTAATTTTGTATTTGATGTTTGAAAATTTTAGAATGTAACAGTCGTCCAACGATGTCGACTGCTAAACAATGATACTATTAATAGCACTCGTCGTAGTCATACGGCAAAGTCAACGGACCATGTTCGACTTTTGCTATTGTTAATCCAATCTAAATACTTCTCGGCATTTCTAACTATATTCTACCTTGTTTATTATTTACTTCAAAACGTAACCACCATTCAAAATATAATCATAAAGGCTAGAAAATGACATTATACTAGATTCGTTACGGCATTGAACACGTTTCATATCTCGTAATTTCTCGAATGAATTCTACTTTGGTTTTCAGTTAAATTAACCAATCATAAAAATTCTACTTGCAAGCGAGGAATTATTTCTTTATTGTCCAATCAATAGACGCCTTCTAATTTACTTTATTCTATTCTTAGTAACATTGTGTAATCGTAATATTATCGCCGTCTGTCACGTACGAAGGGAAATTGAGTATTGTTTTGTATATTATCGTTATATTGAATTAAAAAATGTTTCAAATGAACCAAGTTAACCAGGTAAATAAATAGCTACGGCCTTAGATAGTTTAAATTTTCATTAAAGAATTGTACATGTCTGAAAAAATTCCTGACATTTTTGCGCGTGAAATGCCTTTTATAACGCGAGTATAGCGTGCGCACGAGTAATGACTCGTAGCTCCTGACAAGCTCTGTTTTATGTTTAAAATTGATACCATACGGTTAACGGTTACTAACCGGTTAATAGTTACGGCTATTCGAATAACAAAAAGTCCTAACCGTAGGAGCACTACTGGAGGCATAGGGGATACTGTGCAATTAACATCTATTACACATGCATCACACATGTTAGAGTAGAGCTACAAACATATTTATTACTTAAACATCTCTGAGCATTCTTAATCATTAAATTTGATTTCAGATTTTCTAAAAGCAAACCTCTTGTCTATGACCGGTTAATCTTCGTTCTGGTGCTATCATTGGTGTTCGTATATCTCTTTGTAATATTAATCTATCTCTACTCCCTGAAGATAACATATCACCATTCCATGCTAGTGCACCTGCAAATAATTATCATTTAAACATATTAACTTTAAATATATGTTCATAGAACTAACCCATCTTAAATTATCTTATAATTTTAACCATTCTTGTTTCATTTCCATTAGCTTTATTATTGAAAGAGTCTTACTAATACCAAAGAACCAACAAGACATACTCAACATAATAAATCAAAGTGATGTAATTTAGCAATGTCATCTAAAACCAGATGTACAATGCAGACCAATTGAAAAGGTTATCACAAACCTGAGAAAATAATTTATGAATTTAGTGAGAACCGATTGACAATTTAAGCAGAAACCAGACAGTTTCAAAATGTGAAAACATGAAAAATTGAACGGCTACTATTTGTGCAGATCTGGAGTTACATTTTGAAACTGGCTGGTTTCTATCTCGATTTAGTGAACATGAAATTGGTGAATGACTGTAGGATCAAAACATATTATGTTTACTATCTTTTAATTAACATAATACTACTGAATACAAATAAGTACTTAATGCAGTTGCTACCAAACTTACTTGGTAATTAGACTGCCCTACTTACCTACACGAGCACTGTGACCTTCTAAAGTATTAATTTTCTTTGTCATGGCAACATCCCATATTTGCACATGACCCTTATTAGTTCCTACAGCAACAAGATTCCCCTGAAAAGTTCAATAGTGTATATAACATGATGAACCCAATAACAAATTTAATGTTCTACATAAATAATATAGTGTTTCAATTCTGTCTATTACGACATCAGACAGATAATATTCATGTTTATATAAAAAGATATACATACCCTGTCTGACCAGGAAACTGAAGTGACTGTATCACCATCTGTCATTAAATCACATAATCTCGTAACCTAAAAATAAAACAATAATATTCATAAGAAAGTCACAGGGCCCTGTTTCACGAAATTTTAACTAAAGATAAAATCCAAATTTTAGTAGATACTTCAATTTTGATTGGCTAAGCACTAAAACCAATCTAATATTATCCAATCAAATTACTAAAATTTGGATTTTTATCTTAGTTAAAATTTCGTGAAACCGGCCCCAGATCATAATTAACTGCCATCAACAATCACATAAAATCAATGATGGCTTATATTGAAATTATGACATAGCTTGAACTACTTAACTGCCAAAAAATAGGACTTTCATTGGTAATTTAGACATGTAGAATGCCAAAATTATTTAAATAATGTACGACCTAATATAGTCTCTATCAATCAATCAGACACAATAATATTCTACGGATATTTGTCTGGATGGGTTGTCAACATTTGAGCATATTTAGGTCATTGGCTAGATTATCCGGTCTTTTATCTTATCATATACGAAATCTACTTTTTTCTTCAGTCAGATAGCGTAATAATGGAGGTAAATAGCCATAAAACATGATGTCAATTAATGCCATTCAAATTAATTTAAAGATACATTATGGGAGATAAGATAAAGAGATGGCAGTTCTCGCTATAATAGTTAAAAACTAGATAGTGTAAAGGCAATTTGCTGAAAATTTCAGTCAAATTGATCCACTATGAGCCGAGAAAGAAGCGGGTGAAGTTTTTGCATAGTCTCGGTCATCATTACTAAAATCATTAATATAAACAGCATAGTCTCGATTATCCACTTTTATTGATTTAATTATCAATAGCCGTTAGCGGCATATAGGAATCTAATCCAGCCAACATCGAAGGCTAGCCTTGACATCGAGAGTTTATTATGGTCTGGATAAGTTAGTTAATGTCTAATTGATAATTTAGATAACATTTCAGGCCTAAAGAAAGACTTGTAATAAGCAGATTTTGCTCTTGCATAATGCATGTTTAAGAATTGACATTTCAGAAAAATCTATTTGCATTGCCTGTTCAACATCAAACATGTCTCAGGTTTTTATTGTAAAATCTATCTCTTCAAGGATCATAACTATATGGTTTTTATTAATCCTAATTCGTTATCATGATTCAGGAAGGGGTGCAACTCTTTCTTGACTTTAGATACAAAAGTTCCATTGCCCATGTGTAACCAGGAGTTTGCTTTTTTATGTGGTTGATTATTCCATAAAATATTGTCAAATGTGGACAAATGTTGAAGGCTAGGAGGTTCTGTGCGTCTGAGATTAGACATAATATCGAGAAAGGGAAACCTACCTGACTTGTACACGCTGACCATAGATATACTGATGTACCTAGACCTACACTTAATACATTCTGTGATGACCAATCTACTAAATTTAGATAAAAATCATCCTGTAATTCGGGAGCATCCAGCACTTTGAATGGTATTTTGGATATTTTTCTTACTGCCTACAAATTAAACAAGTATAACATACTTAGTAGTATATTAAACACAAAGTATTTGTATTAGCATTATCCCAATATTCAGTAGATATTTAATAGAACACCAAATAACACCCACTACAAACAGTAACCCATCTGGATATTACCAAGACATCTAATAACAAATTTTTGCTTGACTAATAATGAATTTATTTAAAAGTACTTATTTGTGATTTTCTTACCTTGCGTGGAGAACGTAATAATTTTTGACTTTTACTACCAACAGGTGAGAGAGAGTAAGGAGAAGAATCACCACCTTCTGAACTGTGTCTAGGAACGTGGTACTAAAAAACATATATACATACTTGGTATATTAAGATAGAATTACACACATACAAAATATTTTGCTCTTCCTCCACTTAACTTAACAGCATACACAATTTTTTGTTCTGTGCATATAAAACTTATCACAGTATTAGACCATCCAGTCTAATGTAAGTTAGACTATACTTTCATTATTTTTCCATTTCATGTTGTTTACACTTACACAACAATAAGGTCTAACAACATCCTTAAAAAGTGTGATACCATAATGGTAAATCTTATGAAAAATTTTTCTGCTGGTATAAAATTAATAGACATTCTTACAAGTACATAACTTACCCTAAATAAATTTTTACTTTCTTTGGGAACTAAAACTTTTCTTTCGTCTTGCTGATCCTGAAAAAGGTGGGTACTTTATTAAATTTGGAACACAATATCTACTACTGCTAGTAAGAAGACCACCCTACAGTTACCACAAGTACACAAACACACACACACAAATAACCCAGACAAACAATTGGACAAAGCAAGGACATCACATGTAAAAATATGGTAAGCAAATGATAAAAAAAAAAAAAATATAGCACTGTAAATCCAGGAGTCAACTGCAAATTCCACAAAATAAACAATAAAGATAATTTACTCAATTAATTTTGAATTTGGGTGTTTGCAATTAATTACAGCAAAAATTGTCACATATATGATCTTTCTAAATATATGAGATGTGGTAAGAGGTGTTCTAGAAGTAATGCATACCTTAAGATCATCAATACCAGCTAATAGTAATTCATTTTTCAGTAAACAGGAGTAAGCTAGGCCATCTTTGTTGTTGTCATTCTGTGGTTCTTTAGGTTTTCTGGGTGTGCTTGGTGAAGGGGTTTTACCATCCTATAAAAATGAAAAAACATTTTGTATTACAAATCTTCTGATTTAATCTACAACAGACAAGCTTATAATAAAACGTACCATACTTTTACTTAGTAAGGGCTGTTGTGTAGGAAGCAGTAAGATGTTTTCAATATCATCCAATATCAATCCAAATGGAACAGAACATATAGGTAGACATAAGGATCACCTTTGAAAATAGTTAATATAGAAAGCTAATTATACTCTGTATATCATCTTTTTTTAGACAGGAAAAAACAACAACATAGACAAAACCCTAACACAGACCAAAATAGAGAAAAGAAATACAGTGTACAAACCGGAATCATGTTAAAGTTTATGTGCCAACATGCACCTGCTCTACTAGGAATAAAACGATCTCCATATTTGTCTTTACTTGGTGATGCTGCCGGACTTGTGCTAATAGGCTGAAGAGAAATAATGAATTTGTTTATGAATTTATTCAAGTGTTTTTACCATAAGCCAATACTTTTCAGGTACTTTATTATACAAGGTAATAATAAGGAGTTGTGCAGTTATAGTTTCCAGAATCCTGAATCCCACAGAGAGAGAGAGAGAGAGAGAGAGAGAGGTTTAACATCCACTAAACACAAACTAGGTCATTTCGGGACTAACATGTGGTTCAATTTTATTTAAATAATTTGCATGCGCTTAGGGGTCTTTAGCAGTGGGAGGAAACCAGAGGAGAAAACCCACGAGGTTGGACAGGCGACCTTACTCCTTGTCACGTACAACCAGTTGACTCAATGACAGACCTTATGATACAGCGCGCACATGCTAACCATTCAGCCATCCAACCCCCCGAATCCCAACTTGAGCTAAGTAATTTCTAACATGTATGTATCAAGGTACTGCCTAGATATGTTCACCATAGTATAGGTTTGTAATGGACAAATAGAACGGCCAATTGCTTTGTAATGGATAAATAATATGGTTCTCACAAACCTCAGTTGCTAACTGGACATGTTGAAATGTGAGAAGAAAAGAGGGGTCTATGAGAATAAAAATCAAACACAATCATTCTAAACTAGACGTGAAAAAACATCTTAAAGGAGTAAAGATAAACATGTAAGATGTTACTTACTGAGCCAAAAGGTGATGGAATCGGTGAAAGTTGTCCATTCTGTTGTCTTAAAAGTCTTTTTTCATAATCAGGATCCATTGTTAAAATAACCAAATAAAAGAGATGAAGATAGGTCCGAACAGATCTTGTTAAAAAGGTTAAACAGAGATACTAGAAATATACTATAAGACGTTCATTTCAATCCATTTACGATCTGAAAAATAAAAACAGATAAATTTTGAGTGCAAATCAAAGGGGAAATATTGGTCTATTCATTACAGAGCATGTAAAATTGTCTCCCATTGACAATTTAGGGAATCAATATGGTTAATTCTATGTAAATGTTTTAGATATGGTCATTCTACTAATTCTAGTTTAATTTTTTGAAGAATGCATATGGTCCTTCTATTTGAATTGGTGACCAAGTTTCCAAACAGACATAACCAGTGTATACATGTATAACCGTCTCCGAAGATAGCTGCATTATAAGCTAAGTAGCATTTTTATCAGGTAATTACATATTACACATACATGCAATTGCATGTACATGTATGTAACAAATGAAAAAAAGCAATTTTGGCGATCATTTCTATTCTGAACAAGGTAAATAGGCTATTTATTCAATGTCTGGTGCTTGCCTTGCATACATGTATTCACAAACTAAAAGTCCTGATGTGGCAAATGCATGTGGACTTTAAGGCAACTTGCATTATACAGAGTTTGATAAGTGATTTGCAAGTTTTCGAAAATTTTTATTATTGGCCATTGTAATTAAAATAATTGAGGTATTCTGATATTAATGAGGTCATATACTCAGCCAAATTAAAAACTTGACACTGATATATTTCAACAAATTTTTTTTTCTGGTAGTCAAATAAAATTTTAAAATGTTTTTAACGTTAGTAAGTAGTAAGAAGCCTTTAATTTCATAAAATTGTAAAGTCACATGGATCACGTGACTTTTGAGCATATAAAGATGAAAAACCTGAAACGGTTAACTGGTCAATAAAAACCCAACCGCAACCGGTTAACCAATAGCTATTTTCTATTAAAATATTTGTTGTACCACAGGAAGACTTGATAATATATTCTTAAATTATTAGTATTACAGCTTAAGTTAACAGTACAAATTCCATTCATTCTTGATGTTTCATTTCTCCATCTTGTGTGGTAGTTTGAGGTCACTATAGACCAGTTGAAATCAGGTTAAAAAAAAAAAAAAAAAAAAAAAAAAAAAAAAAAAAAAAAAAGAAGCTTCCCTATCCTATCCTATACTATACATGTAGTATTAATACTTTATAAGATTAGTTATGAAATAAATATTTGAAAGCATATTTTATACAAGATAAGTTTGATTATTTAACATCAGCTAATTCCAAAGAATTTACTACACATTTTTGTGTCACAAGCCATTCTGTATTGTATGGTACCATGTTGTTGTTGTTTATTACAGATTTAAAGTCCAATACAGTGAATATGATATTATGGACAGGTTGATTTAATTAAATTATTTAAGCTTGAAAATTGTTAAAAACACAAATTAAAGAAAAAAGAAAAGGTCCTCGGATACCAAAAGTTCCTTATAGCACACTTATAAACTCGCTGTCGTGAGAAGAGAGGGTGGGTCATCTTCTCCCTTTGTCATAATAAAGTTGAAACAGGAGGTCCAACTGACTGATTTTTGGCGTCATCAGAGCGGATAGAAAAAACCCTGTGGGGAAAAAGAATCAGCTGGCTATATGTGGAAAAGCGAAGTGCTTGCAGTAAAAACCACATAGCTGGACCCGTAGATTATTTACATATTAGTATGAGTCTTCGTTCATGGAGTGATAGGGTTATACTGTAAAACAATTAATTTGTCAATCAGTTGAGGCAATTAATGCTTGGCAGCAAGTGCAGTGCTAATAACCTATACAAAACTTTGAGCAGGAATTTAAAGATGTTAACTTCCCAAGACTTATTACGAATGACAACTGCCATTTGAAGTATTTATGTGGTCTTAGTGAAAGAAAACAATGTGGTGGCTACCATTCCTGGGTTTGAAGGTCAGGTATCATACGAAAACAAATACCGCTTAGTTATTTTTGAGTCGATTCAACAGTGCAACTAAACAACTCCAAATATAAGAATTCCGAATAAGAATCAATTTAGAAAACCAAAATGCGAATCGCAACACATTATGGCCTAAACTGTGTGCTAAATTATAAAATAAATCATAAATCATTGGAACCTGTTGTACGGTGGACACTTCATGCTTTCTTTTAACGTTGGGTTATTTGAGGCGCCAGGTAGTCTGAACATCTGAAGATAACACGTTGAAATAGTGGCTATGTGCAATTTTATTTTTGATCTGTTCTATCAAGGGCAATCCTGTCATAGTGAAACATGCACGAAAATGACTATATTACAAGTTGAATGTTTTGCTATGAGCATGGCTCCATTGTAAGCGATGTAATTTTAGTCAAATTGGTGTGGATTCGGAAAATAAGCTAAAGCGTATGAAAAGGAAGAAGTTGGACACTATTCATGTTAAAATTGCATTGACATATTGTATAAATAAAATATTCAGAAGTTGGACACTATTCATGTTAAAATTGCATTGACATATTGTATAAATAAAATATTCAGAAAATAAGCTAAAGCGTATGTTGTTGGACACTATTCATGATAGAATTGCCTTGTGACATACATGTATTGTTATTGGTATTGATGTATAAATAAGATTTTAAAAATTCATGTAATTCCTTTTTTTAAATTTGTGGGATGAAACAAGTGGGATGAAAGGACCTGTGTAAATTTGGGATGAAACAGCTTGGCCTTGAGATGAACTGGTAGGCCTAGTGGGATGAAACAACCTGCTCCACACATTTTTGGGGACATTAATTCATAGATCTTTACATGTATTGAAATAATTGAAGCATGCTATTAAATTTTAATAATTCTAAAGTTTGGCCTAGTATGTGTCGTATTTGGTAATAATGCCATGGTAGGTAAAAAGTCCTTTCCTTAGTCTTAGCTTAGACACTTAGTGTCCAACAGAACAGGTTAGCCTTTTTGACTAGATTTCATGGCCTTTAACTTTTAGGAACTGCATTGGAAAACAACTATTTTACTAATAAAAGTAAAGGGCTGTACGTGCACAAATTGACTTGATTAACTCAAAAGTGACGACCACAGACAAAAATCAAAACAAACAAGTTTTGAAGTTTCATCTTTTCTGGTTGTTTACATTTTGTTTCGAAAATTGAATGCGTCGCTCATGTTTACTATTCTCTTGATCTGTAAATGGGAAAAACAGAAATACAAAACTACATAAACAAGCAAACCTTTAATTGATCACAATTCCATCTTATGACCAGAATTTGAGATTTAATTAATAATAATTTTTTCTTTTCTTTTTCTTTCGCAAAGATGGCGTCGTTGAATTGAATGGACTTTTTGAAATTCAAGAACGGTACTAAACGAAACGAAATTGTTAAATGTATGGACAAATAAATTCATTGGTTTTGATAATATTGTTCTGAGAATGAACACTAAAATATTTATTTCTTACCATAAAGCAATTTTTATGAACAGTAAGGAATTATGAAGCCTATTATTTAAAGTTTCGTTTCTTGTAGGTTATAATATTACCTGATTCTATTTTTTAAGGTTGCCAATAGTTAATTTTTAAAAAATGAAATAATGAAAAATTTTATTTACATATTATCTGCCGATTTTAGTATCATTGTGTTCTAAAATAGTAAAATATTATTAATATACGTATTATTATTAATTTATTTTTATTTTTTTTTTTCCTTTACTGCAGCATATAAAAGCTTTCATCCTTAGCAACATTTCATAGCAACGTTTATATTCCAACATGGCGGCAGCGGCGAAAGGTGTAGTGAAAGAAGCTCCAAATTCTGTTCATCAAAATGCTATTTTATGTGAAACTATAAAGAAAGAGCAAACACACCAAAAGTTATATACAAACTACAGTATCAATCCATTTAGAAAAAGTAAGTTTATTGTGTTGTTGGAGCAAAGAAAACATACCCATAAAAACAATTATTATTATTAATAATATGTAACAGGCCTTGCCTGAGTAGAGCGAAGCTGATGTGATTGTTGTCAAATAAAACCTTCATAATAAAGTTTCCCCAATTGAAAAAAGAACAAAAAGGTGTGAGGATTTTCATTGACGTCAAAATTATCTGACGTCATTTATTCGACGCGTCATAGAAATATTTCTTAGAGACCCAAAATCTCGCTTGGGCGAGATTTGGTAAGTTGACATGCGCTGACATGCGCATTGACAGACATGCGCATTGCCTGTTTTCCCCAGTGTATCCGGTTCCTGTCTGAATTTTTTTTTAATCAACAGTCTGTGGGTGACATTTTCAATTACGCTCCTGTGTTACCGGAAAAGAGCTTTGCTCAAGCACCGCGCTTCGCGCGATGCTTTAGAGCTTCGCTCTATATTATCTAGGCCTATATCATAATTAATTGACTATATCAATCAATCACATGTGTTACTAGTGTCAGGCTAAAGCTAATCGCAGATCTAGTAATATTAATACCGTAATAATGTAGTAGGACTATCTGTAAATCTGTAGCCCGAGACATCAAATTATCAATTAAAATCACAAACAATCCATTATTCATTGATAATAATAATCATTAATCAAAGTCTAAAGGGCCTTGTTTAATCATAATTGTATGAGAGAGTCTATCGTTTTATTTGATACCAGTACCGTATGGGAATTTACACGTGACATTGTGAGTTTTAAAATATTTTTAGTAGTTAGAATTTGATTGTCATATAGGCCTAGATAGATTAGGCTTAGCAGCGTGTAGGCTGTGCAGTCAAAGTGTGACACCAAAAACACTATCTGCCAAATACAGGACAAATGCCCCACTTCAAACTCAAGTCAAAGACCCCCCCAATAAATATTCATTGGACTAATACCACCAGTCCACCATCCGTCCGTCAAATCCTCCCAGGCTAAATACTCTAGAATCTGGAAGGTTGTTTAGATAATGTAAACAATAGATGTCATCTAACAGTAACATGCTAAAAATCAACAATAAAAAAAAAAGAAAGTGTTTCTACTACTCTAGTGGGTACCGCTCACATACCCATTGAAAACACCAACATTCTTGTGTCTAGGTAAAAAATCATGTGTTTCTCATCGACTGTTGTGAACAATTAACATACGATATGTAAAATATGTCATTACCATCGATAGTTTATGAAGGATTGGGTCCATTCGGATACCCTGTCCGTTACTAAAAGTTAACGTATTTAAAAGGACATACGTCCAACCCCCCAAAATACTCATTCTTATTTTTTAATGCATACAGATCTTAACAAAAAATACGTAAAATTTATCATCATTGTAAGCTTAGTTTACTAATATTGGGACATTTCAAGCTGTTTGTGATTCGTAAGATGTCTATCTGAAATGAATTTAAACCCCAGGATTTTGAAAATGTGTTAGTTTTTCGCAGAAATAGCTCCATCCTTTTCAAAAGAGTTGGGTGGGAATGTGAAACACTCAATTAACCGTGTGTCCTCTTAAATTTTTCAGAAGATTAAGATTCAAGCAAGTTGACCAGGAAATTGCAAGACATGTGACAATCACAGAGTCGTTTTTTGAAATTTTTTCCCCAATGCATGCCAGATAACTTGTCTTGTACTTTTATGAAATTATTGGTCATGTCATTTCATTCATCAGTTTTTACACAGGTCTTTTAATAAAGCTATTTTAACCCTTTCAAGATCATTTACATTTGAAACTTGCAGGGAATGGTCTTGAACTCTTGATGCATTTACATGTAAATCCTGGCATATACTGTTGAAAGGATTTCAATTTAAGTTCTGTTTCTACAGACATTCTTTTCAAATTTTATGAATAGCTGCATATGGGATGGTTTCATTGCCCATGACAACAACCCATCTTTCACATTTTTAAGGCCTTAAAAGTTTGTATTAATGTATTTTTCAGTTCATGTGTTAACCGGTAAGCCAAACTCTATCCATGATACAGAAGAAGGTGAAGAAGACAGTAAGTTGAGGATATGGTTTAGGTTTCAGAATGCTATAAACATTGGGTGTTCAAAGCCCATTACAGCCCAACAGCAGATCATTCTTCTGTCCTGGAAATTTATTGGTTCTTGCAGGGACTGGACCTGAAGTCTTAAAGCCAAGACGAGGTTGAATTAAACTGTTACAGTTAGGAGAAAGAAATGTCAAAGAGACTGCTTTGGTTATATCGGTACCGAGCTGGTTAGATTAAGCTATTAACAATATATAACAAGCCAACAGTGAGGCTGATGTCCCCCGCCGAAATAGGAAAATAATTAGAGGACACATATAAATTTATCACAAATTATCTTTTACAAAGTATTGAACAATCAAACAGTATATCTTTACTTATAGTCTAACAATCAAAGTAGGAGAGTTATTGTTTTCCAAAGTCTCGACCAATCAAATTGCGTATCGCTCTGCTTACCCTGAGCAGAAAATGCTCATTATCAAACTTAGTCAAGGTATTACTGTAATGAAACTATACACCAAGTTTCATCAATCTCACTTAATTAGAACTAAAGTTATCGTGTCCCAAAGCATCAACCAATCAAATTGCTTATCTCTGCTTACCCTAAGCGGAAAATGCTCATCTTCGAACTCCATCAAGGCATTGACCTAATCAACACATACACCAAGTTTGAACATTCTAGCTCAATTAGGAAGAGAGTTATCGTGCCCCAAAGTATCAACCAATCAAATTGCTGCTTACCCTGAGCAGAAAATGCTCATTATCAAACTTAGTCAAGGTATTACTGTAATGAAACTAAACACCAAGTTTCATCAATCTCACTTAATTAGAACTAAAGTTATCGTGTCCCAAAGCATCAACCAATCAAATTGCTTATCTCTGCTTACCCTAAGCGGAAAATGCTCATCTTCGAACTCCATCAAGGCATTGACCTAATCAACACATACACCAAGTTTGAACATTCTAGCTCAATTAGGAAGAGAGTTATCGTGCCCCAAAGTATCAACCAATCAAATTGCTTATCTCTGCTTACCCTAAGCGGAAAATGCTCATCTTCGAACTCCATCAAGGCATTGACCTAATTAACACATACACCAAGTTTGAACATTCTAGCTCAATTAAAAGTTATCGTGTCCCAAAGCATCAACCAATCAAATTGCTTATCTCTGCTTACCCTAAGCGGAAAATGCTCATCTTCGAACTCCATCAAGGCATTGACCTAATCAACACATACACCAAGTTTGAACATTCTAGCCCAATTAGGAAGAGAGTTATCGTGTCCCAAAGCATCAACCAATCAAATTGCTTATCTCTGCTTACCCTAAGCGGAAAATGCTCATCTTCGAACTCCATCAAGGCATTGACCTAATAAACACATACACCAAGTTTGAACATTCTAGCTCAATTAGGAAGAGAGTTATTGTGTCCCAAAAAGTGTGACGGACAGACAGACGGACAGACAGACAGACGGACAGACGGACAGACAGACAGACAGACGGACAGACAGACGGACAGACAGACAGACAGACGGACAGACAGACGGACAGACGGACGGACGGACGGACGGACAGACAGACGGACAGACAGACAGACAGACGGACAGACAGACAGACGGACAGACAGACGGACGGACAGACGGACGAACCCATTTTAATAGTCCCCTGCTTTCTTCGAAAGGCGGGGGACAATTATTAAATAGAGACTTGGGTAACATAGTTCTACGTAAAAGTTACTACTAATAATTAGTCATATTATAGAAAATAATCCATGTTTTTATACCTATGCTTCATTTTAGGTCATTTCTTAGAAGTCATCCACCGAGCAAATCAAGAACCTGTGAAAAAATTTCCATACCCTCTGACAGAATCTCAGGAAATCGGTTGGATAACAAAACCTTTAGTGAGTTTCATTTAAGCCTATCTAAGCTACCAAGAAAACTACATGTATACACAAAACAATGAAACTGCATCTTTCTAACTTCTGTTGTTGATCTTCTTCTTGTACGATGCTCTTCGATAAAAGACCAAGCCTCTGTCAATTCAATTATGATTGATATAAAACTTGGCATGCTTGTTCCTTTTACAATTGTTCATCAATTGACGAACTTCCATTTTCGAAGTGACGTCACAGTGAGTATGATGCTCAGTTCCTGTTCATTGTACGCTCATTCTAATTTATCTCCCATGCATAGTTAATACCAAAATAAACGTAATTAATGTTTAGTAGGTGGTAAATACAATTTCTCTATAAATAATACATTATGGCGAACACATCACCTGGAGACAGTTATATGATATAGCAATGCTCTTTTTGGACTAATACTGAGAAACTGTGACCTTTGGCAACTTGTCTTTCAGTCTGAGTCAACAATACTTGAAGAATTGACTGCTTGATAGGATCACATTCTCTTGTTTTCCTCGTGTTTGTGCAAAGAAAGTCGAATGCTTCAATAGGGGCAAATTTAAACATTAAATACAGTAGGTAACTTGAAGAGAATAATCAGAGTTTCGCCATAATATTTCTCCTCCGTTGTGTTTAATTGATTTGCACGAAAAGTCGAATTTTTAGCTTGTGGTTCCTCCAGAGGTCACAATTTTTATCCGATTTAAAAAAAACCAAAACGTTTGAATATAACATCATTACTCCATAATGATGGTTGAGCTCGAATTTCATGAAAATCGAATCAAAACTGCTGGTTAAAATGGCCACCCCACATACCAAATAGTGTAAAAATATGGTTTATCAAGGTTGCAGACCCTCTAAGAAGCCACAATTTTGATCCGATTTTGATGAAACTTTAAATTTATGTTTACACCACAAAGATCTTGGTTCCTTTCGAAAATCACTCGTATCCGAACGTAACTTCCTGGATTATGGCCCCTGAAATGAATTAGTTTGTCTTGAGTGTATGTCAACTTGTCAAGTCCCCATCTCATTTCAATGAATTCTTTTGTAACTAACTCATTATCAGTTTATTTTTAAACCAGTTTTCCTTTGTTTTCAGCTTGAAACAGACAGAAGTGACAGGAGATTGAATTTTTTCAGAAACAATTCCTCTATTACAAAATATATGGATGCTGCATGGAGGGATAAAGAACAAAGAGAAAATATGAATTAATTATGAAAGATAACTCATTCGAATATTAATTTTTGTATGAAATCTTTTGTCTTCGATTGGACATCAGTTGGTCGTAAATGAAATTAAAAGAAGAAAATTTTTGGAACACATTTATTTTTGTATCAAATCTTTGTCTTCAGTAGTACATTACAGATGAGTAAATGTTTGAAATTAGACCATAGTTTTTAATTGGACCAATATCATAATAGAAGACAGGTGTCAAAACTGGGTTGGTCAAATTTTAATTATATACTGACTGAAGGAATTGTATTATATACTATTCCAGAGGTACTTGCAATAGTTCTTAAATATGAATATAAGTATTGAAAATCTAACATTAGTTGACCATATGTGGTTACATTAAGCAAATGATATTTTTTTTGTACACAATGTTTTATTTTGTAAATATGTTTTATAATTTATACACATATATCCACTTTTATAAATATTTTATTTTATTCCGAGTATAGTAAACGTGATCTGATAATAAAAGATTCTACCGTTGTTCTGGTTTACATTAATTCAAACTGTGAGCATTGCTTTTATATGACCACATTTTAATATAGTGGTATACTGTTGTCAGTCTGTTGGTCCCATCTGTTGTAAATGATTCTTAAGTCTTAAAGGAGCTAAGTCTTTAACTCAATATCGTCCAGTCTTCGACATTACAGTAAAAACAGAAATGATTGAATGTAAATCAGTTTACATGTATATACATTCATATAACATCATATGCGTTGCAACCCATTTGTATCCATTTCTACGTGCCAAACAATAGCAATTGGTCTGACCTTTTAAAAAAAAATTATAGTTTGCCTGGAAGCATCATTGGAATGGAATTGGGCTTAATACGGTACTTTAGTCATTTTGAGACAAATGGTTACACGTGCAATGCTAGGTTTGAGGATTTTGTCTGCTCAGCGGATTTTTCTTGTGCTTTTCTTCGATTTCAAACTTCAAGTAAAGGCAGCACTCTTTGCTGAACTACCATGGCCCCCAAAATCAGAGAAAGAATCCTATTGATTGTCATGTCTTCAGTTATGTCATGTTAATGATCCAGAGCTGAAATTTTTAGGGATTGTCTAGATATGGGTGTGAATCCTATAAGCATACTATTGAAATAAAATTGAACCATGTTAGTCCTGAAATGACCTATCTTGTGTCGATGTTAAACCCCATTTCTCTCTCCTTATTCTGTTAGGACAGCAACTATTTATTTTGGTGCATGCCTCAACCTCCAGGGGTGGTGTGAGAGTCACACCCACTTTTTTATTAATATTTAGTCTGTAAATTTCATGTTTCATTCTCTTCATTTTAAAAAGTACCTTATCAATCAAAGCAGGAATGTGGACATATATTGCAGCGGTAGCATTGCTCTTGTTTAAGATCACAAAATAATATGCTTTTATATCAATTGTCAGTCCGTTAAAGATGGCTTCCCCATGTATAAACTGGGTGATTTGATGATATATTTGGACTAAAAACATATTCAAACTAATTAATCTATTAGAAGTTTGCTTCAAATCCCCCCTCAAAACATTGTATTTGTGAGGAAATACCCCAAGATATAAAAGTCTATTTTTAGAAGTCATGTAACTTGATTAAGGGAGGGCCCATTTTCAGAATGTATTTGTCGTTAGTCCATTTGTCATACATAATGAAGCCTAAGTAAATTCTTGGATAATCTTCTGCCAACTTCTTTTTCCGTTGTTTTGTACGTTAAAACCCCTCAATGTTCCCAAAACTGCTAACCATTCGATCAAGAAATAACAAGCACTTCCTAAATCAAGCTGACAGACAAGAAGCCATCGGGTTGCCAAGTTAGTAATACCCTGACATTTTTTGCCGGTGTTTGCCTCATGTGGCATACTTTTTTGGGGAAATAACTACCTTATAAATACCTCCGCGAGAATGTATCTTTAAAGTCAAATTAATTCTAAGATTCACAAATAGCTGTAGACATTTATCTGTTCAGAATATCCTCCTGTCATAATAATATGGAAAATTCTATTTTATCCTGTGAAAAAATATTTTCAGAAAGACGAAACACTTTAAAATCTTCATTGATTTCCCCTTTAATTATCACAATCTTTAAACTTTATTTTCTCTTTGACAACATTCAACAGCAGTTTATAAAGATTAATGATCTCACAGATTAATGCTCATGATAGCTCCTATTCACTTCACTTGCCATGAAAAAAAATCCAAGTTCATCAATATAGAGCTAGTACAAATGATTTTATCTGACCAACAGGTAACAGTCCAATAATAAGATAAATATTTATTTTCATTTTCTGCTCTTTGTATTCTGCCGCCTGGTCTTTCCCGGTCTTTTATTCTTCTGAAAAATATAAAAACAATATTGTGATGTCATATCAAATATTGACGTTGGTGTTTCATGACAATCGCAGTTTAATTGGTGGAACCTTAGGTTTTTTTTTAGAACATCATCCCCAAGAAGAGCAACAAGAGAAGTATCACTTGGGACCAAGTTCCCGGTTCAGAAAGTAAAGGAGTGGGGTTAAAATCTCAACACCTACTTCATGCTGCAAAAGGCCAATATCCATTTTTCTTATTGGATGTAATGAATTGATCTATTTTAATAATTGTATGCTTGGAAAAATCTATATATGCCATATATTCTATAATATTGGACCTTAAGGTTTATGCTAATTTTCATATTTTACAGTCCATCAAAAATCCTAAGGGTGATGCAGCAACCTAACCTCAATACAATAATCCATACAACAAATTCCCATTAAGAATACTTGTGGTGGCAACCTCTTTCAACTGCTTTATGTGACTTTTAAGCTACATGAACTTATCGATTTCTGGTTAAGTATATGATCACAACTACATACATTTACAACAGTATAAACAACAATGTTGTTGTTGGCTTCTGAAATTTGTTCTGTATGGTCAAAATGTAAATCTTACCATTCCCTTTTTTGAAGATCTTATTTTCGAGAAATTTTTACCATACTGTGAAACATTATTTACAGAATCTTTTGTGTTCATCTTTGATCGTTTCTTTTGACCTCCAAAACCAAACTTGGCATTTTTATAAACTCTTTTTCTGTTGACTCTGTAGAAGAATGGCAAATTGTTGATAAAAGTATAAATGCACATAGTTTATAAAGCCTGACCGAGAACTCTGGTAATGATATATTTCCTCAAATATAACCATATATAAACATACCATGTATATACAATACTTCAAGAGACCCACAGTTTACAATAACCCCACTATAATGCCCTAAATAAGTCTATGGTTAATTGGTTATGTTACAATAATGATTGACATCACAACGTGATCTGCCAAATTAAGCTGGTGAAATCAGATTAGTTTCCTTAGAACTAACTTGCAGACACTTGACATCAAACAAACAACAGCATAATTTTAACCAAATCTGGATTTTATTTCCCACCACTGCACAAAGATGAAGTTATTTCCGTCAAATAATTTTATTATCCGGTTAATAATAATTAATAATAATTAAATCATAAAACTTTTTTGGGTTTTCATAGAACTCGTGAATGGACAGGTGTATATGCTCACTTCTAAACTGGTTGAATAAAAATGTGAATCACAACAAAGTCTGCATTTCAATCTGACCAAATTTTAGCACTACTAAATAAAGGCTTGCATGCTTTTCTGCTAAATCTGTTTCAAACCTGCATACTAAAATTGTAATATATATATATATAAAAAACCAAACTAATTTACCCAGGTTTTCCACCTTTTCCACCCTTTTGAACTTTTTTATTCTTTTTATCATTTTCTTCAAAATCATCATTATTGAGAAAATCAAGTTTATCTTTCTGACCTGTAAAAGAAATATATATTTCCATATTTATTATTATTATTATTATTATTGTTCGATTTATATAGCGCTTCATTACACATGAGTGTTTCTAAGCGCATTCACAACAAAACAGTTCAAAAACATTTTTGAAATAAGTAGGTTTTTAAGTTAGTCTTAAAGCTCTGGATGGAAGAGGACTCTCTAAGAGTTTTTGGAAGATCATTCCACACTTTTGCTGCTTTGACGGAGAAAGCATATTCACCAGAACGCTTATTATATTTGGGGATCCTCAATATGCTACGATCACTTGAAGAACGAAGGTTGGATCGCTGGGGAGTATAGAAATCAAAGAGTTCTTTTAAAATTTGTGAAGTGCCTTTAGGATGATTTGAGTAAAGCTATGCTTGAGCAGCACTGATCTGAGTTTACATATTTTTTTAAGGAACTGAATAAAGAATTAACCTTTTCTGTATTTTTTAACAGCTTCCAACATGTCTCTTTTTTCTTTCTGTCTTTTCTGTAAAACTTCTTTTTGCACCTGTTATTGAGAGTAAAATCATAGAAATATACATTTGCCAGAAAAAGAACCGCCACTGCAATAAGATAATGTTCATTAACTATCTTCTACATCTGAAGCTGTGGTATAATAAGCAAGAACACAGCCATTGTCCCCAGTAAAACAACAAGAGATAGACTGACAAGTTAAGGTAACTATTGTGACAAATGTACATTTTTAAAGTTATTACAAACACATGCCAAGTATTGCCAAGCAAACATTGCTTGTGTCCAGGAGTTTTAATGAAATGGAATGAAATAGGGTTGAACATCCTACTGTTCTGCTTAATTAAATGACACCATTTAAGACTAATAATAGAAAATACTTTAAGCATCAATTGTTTTACCTGTTTTCCATACTTTCTTAAATCTCGTAATTTCTTGGCCTTTTCTGATCTTTCCATACCTAGTGTTTTTTCTAATAATTTTTCTCTGACCTGGAAGACAAAACAATAATATAGAATATTTTCAAGATTTCCACAAGTAATTGACACATACATGTAACTTATTATGCACCCAACAGAAAAAAACTTTTGAATAATTGATATGAAATACAGAAAAATAAGAAACAACACAATGTGTATTGAAATTAATGTGATCATTTGCAAATCTAATAATAAAAACAGCTTAACCCTTTCAATGCTAGACGTAAATCCACTGCCTGTGCTAGACCCTTTTTTGAGGAAAAAAGGGAGGTTGGAACTGAATGCCAAACAGTACTTATGGAAGCTTTTATGAAAAATCTTTTTGTCTGTTGGGATGGGCATGAGGTTGGGCTAAGAGGAAAAAATAGAATTTTGGAAATTTGCATAATAATGTAGTCATGTGACGTCATGGCGGCCATTTTGGATTTCTCATTTCACACTAAAGCTAACACGAAAACGAATTTTTCTCCATGAAATACTTAAAAGATATTGTTTTTTTTACTGGATTTTGATAAAGATATATAAAATGAACAAAAATATCAATAGCAGCCATGAGCAATGCCGCCGCGAACATGCGCATCACGTCTCCCGCTGCCATGACCACGTTCGGATTGCAATACCTTGTTTTTACTTTCACTTTCACTTTCATCCCCAAGTCCCATATCATTATCAATATAGTCAGTCAATAGATCTACACGTTCGGGAATCAGGAATTACCTACGTATTTTACGATCCAGCAGGCCAGCATTATTATCAACATCAGAATTATTGTCAGAATCTACTGCAGACACAGGGCTATCGTGTTCACATTGGGCTTGTTCATCATGCACGGGAGACATAGCTAGCCATGGGCGGAACGTCGCGCAACAAATCACACACTTCATAATACCAATCACTGTCCTGACTACTATCATTATCAAGTAACTGGAAACGAATTATGTGTATCACCCGCCTCGAAATTGTCCACGTGTTGGTCAGCAAGACGTCATTCACGACTTCGTCGAGAGTGCATCGTCTACGTTGTCACAATGCACTCCGCCATTTTACGGTTTGCTGCTTTGAAACACGTGGAAATATGTTCTAGTGTATAGAAAATACAATAGATGGCACTTGCAGTTACGGTACTAATTTTAGCGAGGGCTTTACTGAGTACACGGTAATACCGGGTACGGGCATTTTATCGACATTTTATAATACCCGGTACTACCGGGTATACGCAGTGAAAGGGTTAATACCATCAGGTAATTAATTATAGCATTGTTATTATCAAAGTAAACCAATTATCAGCATTGTTTATCTGATTTTTATGCATGAGATTATGAAGTGTTCAAAGTCATGATACACGGTGGCATTTTTTGCTAAAATATTAAACTTCTCACGGCTTAATCCATGCAAATTATGTACTCATTATTTAACATTTTATCAAGAAAACAATATCAAAATACCAACGCTAGATAATGTCCTGGCTTGGATTCATTCTGATTAAAAACAGGCATATCGTGAAATTTTAGTGGACAGCAAAATGGAGCATCGGAACTTTAATGATACTGGTAGTTTACTTGGCGCCTTGAAGGTACTTTAATTCATAAAACAGATATCCTGTGCATGTCTGGTGTTTTCCAACATGTGTACTGTTACTGTGGAATTATCAAAATTAAACCAGTTGCAATACAAAACTGACTTTACTGCCAGCATAAAAATATTTACCCTTTTCATGTGATCATCTGATTTGGCCATTTCAGCAAAATAATCTTCTGGTCTTTTTGTTTTTAAACCAAGTTTCTGTAACTTCGGTAAAGCTTCTAAAACTGCTGCTTGTGCTTGTCGATAACTGGTGTAAAATTCACATATAAGAATTGATCAATACATCTTAAATTGCTAAAATACAGTAAACTTCGCATAAGTTGGATCTAAGTGGACTGACCAATCTTATCCGAGCTTAATCAAAGATTCGAGTTAGATGAAATTCAATCTTATTTCGATTAGAAATAAACTGCAAGAGCTGGATAATAAATTATAATTGATTCAAAGGCACATTTCAAGCTTTTGTTCATATGTGCGAGTACATGTAGATAACATCCGTTTGGGGGGGGTAGATAACTTCCTTTTTGTCCATATCGTTGAAAAATGTCCTAAATTTTCTCGGAAGGTGTCTCGTACAGCGGAGAGCGAGTTTCATATTATTGCTTCATTTCATATAGGCTGATTTGAGTCAAAATGAAAGGGGATAGTATTTAGACAATCAGGACGAAACTAACTTAAGTCAAATTCTGAACATACTGCTGATCGGACTATGGCGAAGGAAAAATGCCGGAATTAGATGAAATGGACCAAACATATTGATCCGAGTTGAGCAAAGATCCGACTTAGGAAATCCGATTTACACGCAGAAATTTAATACGAAAAACGTGCAGGGTCAAAGGTGGACCAAACATATTGATCCGAGTTGAGCAAAGATACCGACTTAGGAAATCCGATTTACGCGCAGAAATTTAATATGAAAAACGTGCAGGGTGAGTTGAGCGAAGATTCGACTTATACGAATCTGACTTTACTGTACTAATGTTTAAACAGTATTAAGAAGGAATATAAATCTTTTTAATTATTCAGATATCTATGACAGAAATGATAAAAGGCTTGAATCAGATGCAGAATCTTACTTCAGTAACATTCCATACTCCTTGCAGTATATCATTTCATATTTCACAGAATATGTCATACAAAAAAAGAATTAAAGATTTGGGAGAGATAGTAACATTAATGAATAACAACTTACAATTTCATTTCTCGTTTAAAATCATTATGAACATCTGCATCACCAGATCCAATATCTTCATCTACCATACTTTTAGGTAACTGTGTAGAATCATTTGTCATATCTAATCTTTCTATCCAAGCCAAGTCTTGTTTCATTTCATCAAGTTTTTGTCTGAGACCGGTCTGCAAAAAGAATTGTTCAGATCCAAATATCAAAGAGCCAAATCAAACAATGGTCAAATTTTATTCAGTTTTTGTACTGAAAATATCTATCGAGTATCAGCCAAGAGTGTTGAGCTTAATTTGCTAGTGTCACTGAAATAAGGATTAAATTGCTAAGAAATCACTTCAGTTTTGTCATATTTTGCATGTAAGGAGTAGGAAATCGCTAGCTTTTCATTCAATTTTCCAGCTTTAAAAATATTGTAACTTGTAAAATAAGCATTACCCTAATACTGACATCTTTGTGACCTTGAAAACTACAACATTTATAAACACATACATCATTCTTATTGTATGAAACTGTGTTTATCTTAATTTACATTCAAATCTAGTGCGAAATAATCATATCGTTGTCATAGTCCTTTGGGTTTTTGTTTGGGCAGGTTTATTTCTCATACCCTTTTCTACATGGCATGATTTACCATGTCTAAATGTATATATGTCAACACATTACAAGGATCTCCAATTTAATGGAAATTTACTATGATTTACTATTTTAACATTCTTCATTCATATTTAATTTAAATTTTGGATACAATATAATTAACAGACTACATGCCATGATGGAGAATTTATAGATCAGGCCTAATGGTTGCATGTTCAAGAATCTGTGCACATGTATTCCTCCTACCTAATACCTTTTGATAAATAAATTTTAAAACAGGATAGACATAGACTGAAAGTACGGACACCATTGTCAAAATTAACATATATATAATTTACATACATGTAAAGTACATGTATATCATTTAATTTGCATGATTTTAGCATGCTATAAATTCACAGTAATATCGGCATGCTAGAATAACAACAGCATGCTAGAAAAAAACACTGCAGTCATCATTTTTGTTTAGTTATACCCTTGGTCAGATTGGACTGTACTGTAAGCTAAAAATTTAACAGTCATACCTATCATTTAACCAAAATACAGTATTGTGAATTATCTGTGACATAGCCTATTTGCAGCTGATATATTAAACAGAACATAATTTTTATGGGATATCAATCACTGGTTTTATTCTAATAGCACAAAATATCCCATAAAAATTGTGTTCTGTTTAATGTGTTCCTAAATTGCTAAATGTTTCTTAAAGATTAAGATGTATATATATATACACACACATATCAACAATTAACAAAAAGGTCAAGTGTGATATTAAAACTGATAACTGAAGGATATTAAAATTACCGTATTTTTTATTAACTGCTTCTTTGGTGCTGATTCAATGACAAATCCTGATTTCAACTTGCCTGCAGCAAATGCATTTTGAAGCTGAAATCATAACAAATGAAAAGTATAATTAGATATTGCACTCAGGTTGCCAAGATACAAAACAAATGTCTCCACTACAAGTTAGCCTGATTTTATTTTAAAAATATATTTTGTTCACTGTAACCGAAAGGGAGATCTTGAAACAGGAAAAATGCCTATGCGGGACGGGACCCCTATCCCCGATTGTTGATCTTAAAAATATTTCAGCATCGCACTAACAAATTAAATCCTACATCACAATAAACCCTATCATATTGTGATAACCTCAACAAATAATTAAGCTCTAAGGAAAGACAACCTAATGAACCAGAGAAAGCAATATAGCCAGAAGAAGATTGAGGATGGAATTGAAATCAGGAATAAATAATCATCTTGCTACAACCCTAATAGTAATACATGTTAGTAGCTGAGGCAATTTGTGAAGTATAGAAGTATCTTGTGATTTAAGTCAAAGGGAAATAACTGTGTATATAGTTCTATTATTGTCTGCCTATCTATTGACAATTCACTACTATTGGCATGGGTATCTCAACATGCACATATCGTATCATGAATAATAATAATAATAATCTAGCATCTGTTTAGCAGAAGAGGGCGTATTTTTAACACCATGTGGCATGTTGTGTCGCACATACTGACTCTAGCAGGTAAGCAAAGTCTCATTTTCTCACTAAGATGTTCCTTTACATTGTACAGGCATTCACAGGGACTGACACGCAACTGTTTAGCAGTAAAAAGTTGTCCAGTAAAATTGACTGGAGGACGAAACTTTTTCGACACAGATTCAATAGGACGGTTCCTGAAAGTACAAAGCGAGTGCAATGAGACCTAAGTTCAGAGTTGAACTAGTCAGTAATAATTATTAATAAGCTATCCTGCTGACCGATTCAAGTTCAGAGCGGTACTTTAATGTAGTGTAAAGCTCTAAAGCATCTCCCGAAGCGCAGTGCTTGCGGAGGGAAAGCTCTTTTCCGGTAACACAGAAAGAAACTTAACTAAAACTGTCACCCACAGACTGTTAATTAAAAAAAAATTCAGACTGGAACCGGATGCACTGGGCAAAAGTGGCAATGCACATGTCAATTTACCAAATCTGGCCAAAGCGAGAATTACGCGTCTCATAGAAAGTCTAAGAAAGAAATATGTATATTTTAATTTATGAAGCTTCAGCGAAAAATAAGATAATTCTCACACGTTTTTATTCTCTCTCTTTTAAACAAAATTAATTATACAATTTATATATAAATTCGCAAAAACGAAATTATTTAACATTATTTGTATCCCTTGAGAAACTTAATTTATGAAGGTCTTATATTTCATTATTTGACGTCAACAAGTTACAATGTAACAATATGATCCAGCTTCTCAGGCAGTTCCTGTTAGCCTACATAATAGTTCTCAGGAGCAAGAATTACCTCCTCATCTGAATCTAAGCTTTCAGCATCACTGCTGACACTTTCGTCAGATTCATAGGGTATTCTGTTCGTGAATTTTTTAAATAATGCCATAATTCGGGAATGTTATTTATTTTCTACGGCACACACGTGCTAGTGCTACACCGGAAGTGTCAAACTGAAAACATTGCCCAGGGGGCGCTAGATGAGAACATTCGGTCCAATATCTAAGTTTGGACCCTTTGAGTGAGATGGTTCGTAACAATAGCAAACGTCATACACTTATCACACCCCGCGAATCATGGTATCCTAAAAGAAAATAAGTCTCACCCATTGAGTCACCAGATCTCCCCACCGGCTTATGTACCTTATAGTTTTAGCGGGGCAGGGTATTACATCGTGACATTTCCTAGTCTGAAATTTTGATGCAGGCATATTTGTATAACATGCTTTAAGTGGAGCGTATTAACTTTTTACTTGTCTGATGCCCCCTATTCTCTACGTAAAATATATTTTTTAAAAAATACAAGAATTTATTTGAATCGGAAATTGTATATATATTATGGAATCTGAGAACATATTTGTTCATACCGAAGACTACTAATGCAAAATTTTGTTAGTTTTTGGTCTTTTCGAATTTTAGCAGACATTAATGTGGTGCATCATGGTACGGGTCTGACTTTCCGAACGGAGGAAAGGACGAATGTTTTGATTATATTTTAGTGACCAAAAGGAGTTGAAATTAGGCCCATACATTACCATAATGGGAAATCAGATATATGCGTATATTACGCACCCAGATACTGCTCCTGATATTAAAAGCTCACCTACATTTGATCCTTTATATGGTTTCCCAAATGGGAGAAAGGAAAGAGGTACCTTCGTTATTTTATATATTTATGTTATTCTGACATATTAATATAATATTTCTCTACACACATGGTGATGGTACAGTATTGATCATGAAGAACTAAAAAAAACATTAAGTCCAGCAACAATGTAATACACAATTCTGCAAATCATAGATCAAAGGAGCTAAATCGCTAATATTTAAGACCTAGAAATTGACCCAAATGGCCTTGGGTCGCAACGCATATAATAATGTAATCTGATTGTATATAAACTAATTTACATTCAATTGTTTCCGTTTTGACTCTTAATTTCAAATCAGTTATGTCCAGCGAACCCTATAGCAATTTCTAGCGTCTGGTTATTCCAGTCTAATGAGCAGGCTCTCCAGTTGAACATCTAGCCTCGTTCTTTCTGGTCACTTGTTGCAAATGACGCTTAAACGCACTATGGTACACGATTCGTGTACCAATGGTAAAATGTTTATTTTGTCTTGAATATTGGATATCAGAGCCTGTCTTTTCCTGGTAAGATCACAACATCAATGTTGATTTGAATTGACATACAATTAGTATTTTCAACGTGTATGACTTTCAATTTGGATGATATTGAGTTAGAGACTTAGCTACTTTAAATGTTAAACTTGATTGTGTCTAAAAAAAAATCAAAAAAAAATCACTCACTGCATTGTCATGTTAACTAACTTACTGTCAGACACATGAGTACTGAGAGTGAGACAGCAATCATGCAAATTCAGATAGCCTAACACTAGACTTTAATGCTACGCACAAGACAGCAATCTTAGAATCCATATCTAACTTAGTATTAGTAGTAACTAGTCTAGTGTCTTGTGCGTAGCATCATAATAAAGAAAATCTGATCTGTGTCATTTCTCAAAGTTATAACATTAAAATGTATTGAATAAGTGGGTAATCTATTATGGACCACAAAAAATCTGGAAAACTTGTATCTCAGTAGTCTTGTGAACTGATGCTGCCAAAAATATTGACAGACAGAAAATTTTGGTGAGCAAGTAAAATTAAAAAGTAACTTATTCTATCTAATTTGTACAGTTTATATTTGTTTCAGTTCTTCCATTGTCAAGGGAAGAAATGGATCGTGCCAATATGCCACTGGATAAGCGTGATTATTGTGCTGATATCTGGCTAGACTATCTTACTTGCAGAGATAAAGTTTATCCTTTAACAGCAAAATGTGATCATGATTACCACAAGTATTATGATTGTCAATATGACGAGTAAGTAACTTGGATATATAAGTGAAATGAGGTTTAACATCCTACTGTTCCGCAATGACTGGGATAATGAAGACAGAACTTTAATATATGCAGTAGACTATGTTTTCCATGCAACTCATCCTAGACTTGTCAGCGTATCTTTCTAATAAAGATAAATTGACAAATTCCAGCAATTGTGTATACTACTCTGTATAGTTTTCAAACATATCTGCCCATTTCTTCCTAAAACTATATTAATGTGATAGGTTTATTACTAATTCTTTTCAAATATGGTTTGAAGAGTTTGAGCCATGAGAGGACAAACCCTATCAATTTCAGCACTCGGTAGCCTTCTGTTCAGGAGTTATACCCCTTGTCCGAAAACCTTGTTAACATAACAGAGGCTAGAATTTTTAGCAATTTCTTTCATATTTGGTGTGAAGTATCTGTCATAAGAGGATAAACCATTAATATCAATATCCATTCTAGAGTACACACCCCCTGTTCAAAAACTTTGTTTATGTTTTCATATTAATTTGTTGTGTGGCATTGGGGTCTTCAGCGATATTCCCTTTTGGACTTACCTCGCCTGACATGTTAGAGACTTCAGTTTTTAATAGATTTTTTTTTTCAAATTTTTTGTGAAGCATTAGGACTGTGTGAAGTTTAACCCTATTGCATTTTATATTGGGTGTGAAGCATTGAAATCAGAAATGTGTGCAGAAAAGCTTGTGAACACAATAGAGATTATCGTTTCGGGCTGTTGAGAGATGTGTAGCTGATCTGTGGGCGTATTTCCGCAGTTGCGTGATCGATAAGATCATTTGACCTAAACCCTGGATTTCCTAGAAAGCTAAAAAAAAGTTGAATCCAGGCCCAGTACTGTGTAAGCATATTGTATAAGGCTTACTTTCTTTTGTAACTGATATAATTTCTGGGACTAAAATCCTTGATAATTGTTTGACAGAAAAACAAAATAATTGCACTGCATGTTACCTTAATGCTGGGTATTGTGACTATAGTTAAGATACACAATATAATAGAAGGCGTGGCTCAGTGAGTAAGATTCTAGGTCGCTATCCTGGAGAAATTTCATCAATGTTTGTTTTCTGATGTGGGTTCCCTTTGTGAGGGATGCAGGACGGAGGACCTGACAAACACAGCTGTCTAATCATTGGGATGGGATTAAAACTAAGGTCCCTTTCACATTGGCATGCACATAAAAAAAACCTTGACGGTTGGAATTCAGTATAAGATTAGGCCATAGCGCACCTGTCCAGGCAAATTTCCCTCATAGCACACTGCATGGCATATGTCCGACTCCATTAGCCCAGTCAGGGCAAAAAAAGTAGGACGTTGACTCCATTTATTTCATTTACACAATATAATAGATAAATTATGGTATTCAACTGAGTACATGTATGTGAATAAAACATGAATATTCTTTTTTGTTTTGGCACTAAAACTTAGTTGCATTTATAAATTGTCTAGTCTAGATTCTGATATCTACATGTATTAATTGAATTATTTATTATATTTCAGCTTTGTGTTAAGAATGAAAGAATATGAACGTGAAAAAAGATTAAAAGAAAGAGCGAAAAGAATAGATGCAAAAAGGAGTAAAGAAGAATTAGAATAACCTATTAAATTATGTAGACTCTTATAAACAATGTGTAAAAATTGTATAAATGGAGATCAACTTCAGACAAAGAAAGCTATATTAGTGTGGATAATTTTATATATTTGACTACTCAGTGTTGCAAGTTCAGACTTATCCGTACCATCATTTATTATCAGCTAAAAGGAAATTTATCAAAGGCTTTGTTGTCTTAAGTAATTTTTGCCTTGAAGTAAATGATATTGAAACTCAACTACCTGCATCAGTGCTTTTGTTTTCTTCTCGACAGTCTTTAAGATTTATTAGAAATCATGTAAGTTATAATTCCACAACACCCCAAACAAATTATCAGATAATAGTCTTCATGACAAAGCAGCTCATTCGTGTTATCAAATGACGTAAAATCTTTGCTTTGTTGTCATTTGATTGTGGGGGTCACAGTGGCTAAGTGGGTAAGACGCTTGCTCGGTAGCCTGGAGGTCGGATGTTCAATCCCTGCATTGGCCGAGAGAAAGTTCATTCAGATTTTCCGGCGTGGTTCCCCCTTGTCAGTGATGCAGGACAAGGACAGCTGTCTAGTCGTTCGGATGGGATGAAAACCAAGGCCCCGTATACATATTGGCGTGCACGTAAAAGATCTCTTGACAGTTGGAATTTGATATAAGAGTAGGCTGTAGTGCTGCTGTCCTGGCAAAATTTCACCCATAGCACAGTGTATGGTGTATGCCCTTCTTCATTAGCCTAGTTCGGAGCAGAACAGTAGGACGCTAAACCCAATTTCATTTCATTTGTTTGTTTTGGTTTATGGTGGTTTTGAATATATCGTCAGCAAAAAGATCTAACCCATCATGTCTTATCGATGGTTTGTAGGGGATACTGAATGTTGTGAAATTTTCAATTCATCACATGTAAATTTTTGAAATAATTGAACCATGGACAAATGTTCCATTTAGAGAATCAACTTGCGTTATATTTTATTCTAAATCGGTCAAATGACAATCGTTTCAATTTATGGCATTCTGAGACCTGGAGCCATATTCACAAAAACTTAAGCTCAAATATTTTAAGCATTCCGATTTTTCATTGGATAAGAATTAAAATCTTGATGCAATTTTTAGCTCTTTGCCTTTGAAAAGTCTGAATCCTTTAATGTTTTAGTTTTATTTAAGAGTTTTAGTCACGTGCACACAAGTAAGTACAAGACCAGATCTTGATTAGAATGGTTATGATTAATGCTCAGCATTAACAAAATTGCTGATCTGTATTAAATACGTGTTCTGTTTACAGATATAAATTATTCATTTCCTTCCCAGATACTGTAGCAGAGAAATTCCAAGTTTTTTTTGTTACGACTGTATTGAACCATAATAAAATGCACCAGGTTTTTATAGATGAAATACCATTTTACACCATAGTTAATGTAGCAGTATTTAACCAGCAGATAATGTTTGTATACATCACCCGTTTTATAAAAACGGTCACATCAATTACCGCAGGTAAAGGTTTTAACCTAGTTACAGGAAGTAGGTCTATAAAAATAAAATTGAACAATCCAGAAATATGACATAGAATCATTTATCAAGTATATATGCAACCCTGATAAATGTTACAATCATAAATGATACTGGATAAACATACCAACACTAAGGTAGAAGAAGTACTGGATAAACATGCTTTGCTACAAGATAAATGTAGTGCCTTGAAATGTGATGTTTATGAGAAGTCAATAAGCCCAGTACCGCAGTAGTTATAAAAACAAAAAAAAACCCTGCATCAGATTTTTGTTCAGGATTGTCTGAGAACCAGAATATTTTTTTTTTTTTTTTTTGTATGGCTTTAATGTAGCAGTGGTTAACCATCAGATAATGCTTGTAAACATACATTGTTATTAATACAGTGTATGTATGGAAATATGCATGAATATCGAAAGGAACCAAGATCTTTGGGTTATAAACACACATTTGAAGTTTCATCAAGATCAAATAAAAATTAACTTCTAGAGGGTCCACAACCTTGGTATTACATACTTTTGAACTATTTGTGTAAAAGGAGTGGTCATTTTGTGAGGCATTTTTGGTCAGATTTTTTACGAAATTTGAACTCTACCTTCAGTCACTGAGGTATAATGGTGATAATAATGTTTTTTTAAAATTGAATACAAATTGTAACTTTTAGAGGGTCCATAAGCAGAATTCCTAAAAACATGATATTTTATAGAATCAGGGACCATAATCTAAGAAGTTAAGTTCCGATATGCGTGATTATCAAGTTTCATCAACCTTGGTATTACATACTTTTAGACTATCTGCGTATAAAGTTTCCTCAAAACCAAATCAAAATTGTGACCTCTAAGAGGGTCCACAACCTTGATATGACAAACTTTTACACTATTTACGTTCGAGGAGCCACCATTTTGTCCGGCAGTTTCAGTCCATCTGATTAAAATACAGATCTATATTTCGTTTCATTTGTTTATACTTTTGATGGCCTCTACTGCATCAAGATCTGGCCGGTTGTAGTTGCAAGTCACATCAAAGAGTTCGTACAAGCGGCTTTTGACCCAATTACATCATGGCAATCGATTAACCAATCAGCGTTGATGTTTCTAGTGGGTTACCCACAGTTCCGTGCACCTCACGCCCAAAACTCGCCATAATATTAGCTATTCCTTCACATCATCCAGAACACCAGTTATATCACAACTCTTCCAGATCCTAGTGTAGTACAAACAAGTAAAACGAAAATTTGAACTATAAAAAACGAAACGAAATGGATCTGTGTTTTAATCAGATTGGGTTTAAGCAATACAGCGTGCTTTTAGGGAAATTTTACCCGGACACGGTCACAGGTTCTTTTACTTTCTTTGCACCACTGGCAAGGGGGGAACTGCATGAAAAATCCTGACCTAATTCTTGTCACGTACAACCAGTCACCCCCCTTGTTACAACAATGAACAATCTGCACTACATCTTCTTCAGTCATAACTTCGCCCAGAATAAAGTAATTTGAATGAAATTTACAATATATTCATTATCTATCATACCAAGACCAGCCAGCTCTTAATCTAAATCTTTTATAATGCATTTTTAATAAAGAATTAAGAAACCTGTATCAATAAATATGAAAATATTTTATTTGCGAAAGCAGGCAAAAGCAAAAACAACCTAGTGGTAGATAGAGTGAAAACTACAATAATTTATAAAATATATTTAACCAACATAAAGTCACCTCACACAAGCTTTTTTTTTTATTTACTGGTGCACAGATTATTTTATTGAAGATCTGCTTCAAGCAGTAAGCTAAAGCAAGCTAATGTTTGAAGATTTCACAAGTAAAATTTTTGTTCATTCTGGCATCAAAACGAGACAAGATTATCTACAATTCAGATAAATTGAAGGGCTGAAAATAGTAATCATAAAACCAACACTAATTAACCTACACATTATACACTGAAAAAGATTTCCATAATATTAAATTATACCTCAATGCCCAACAAGACTTAGTGATCTGTAGAATATTTATATGAATGATGATTATAGTAATTTCATGAATATTTAATTGACATGGGTTCAATACAATCACACCTCAGAATTCCTGTTCAATACAAAATAGAGTCAAACAGAAATTCTTTGGTTCATCAAGTCTCAAAGAAATAAAAGACTAATCATTCACATAATAAATAAATACCAACGCAAGACTTTACAAATTCAAAAATATTAAGTCTGGTACATTTAGATTTCGAAATAATTATTATGCACAATATTAATACTTTAATAAATTTTTATTTAATAAATCAAAGCATGCTTTATGTTACAGCGCTTTCCCAATGTTCGGCTTAATTATAATCATCATATAAATTGGAGGGAATATCATGAAACAGAAAAAGTATAAAAATACAAAGAATTCTAATAAGCATAATTTGAAAATGGATATGTAATACTTAAATAATATGCTAAAATGATATTTATTAGGGGTGGTGGTCTTCCCAGAATTGGTACCTAAAACACCATAACCAGAATTTCATAAGAAATACATTAGTATAAAGCAAATTTAAGGCCAAATACATACACATACCATCCATGGCATGCAAAAATCAAAATTTAGATCATAACACGATCAACATGTAATTAAAGTGATATTTTACCGAGTTTCTAATTTAACATGCTGTTCGGGAATATTGTATAGTATTCAAAAATCAATTATATTCCTGTAATAAACAGATTGACTTGAAAAAAGGATAATGGTACAAGAAACTGGGGGTGGATGTTCTGATGAAAGGGCAAATTTGATAAATAAATGGAATGTTTGAGGTAAATTAAATGACTCATAACATAAATGCTCCATTATGTCTTTATGTTAATATTTTTAATGTTGAGCTATGTTATTGGTACATACCCGTTATCAGTACTACGTCACTGTTTATGTATCTTTACTGGAGATAAACATATTTATGTTACGTTTATGAATCTATTTGTAAAACTAAAATCTTGTGTCATGTAATTAATGCAGTTTACATGGATCCAGTCCGCTCCACCTATCTGAGTTTTCATACATCTGGACACAATCGTGAAACCTTCACTCTCACAATTAGTGTTGGTCAAAATGTGCCAAAACGCAGCTTTTATTGAAAGCCTTACCACATAGTGATAAAACTTTTTCATGCTGTATGAAGTCTATTGAAAGAAATTTGAAAACTCATTTATTTAGATTAGAATAAAAGTGATCAGGTTACAAGTGTGTAAATAGTGTAAAGCAGGGATACTACATATTCCGTACATGTCCTACACGATTTTCCAAACGTCCTACCAGGGATATGCTCAATCGGACATCAAGATATGGTGAATAATATTAAAAAGTCCAAAATATGTTGATTGCTTTAACACTGTAAAGGGTATATAGTGTTTGTTCTTGAGCATGCATTTGTGGTTGGAACTATCAACTAAGACATGTAAATACACCATATCATTATTGAAGAACAGAGTTCACTATTAATTCTAAATGGAAAACCATCACCCATAATTTATATCTGATTAATGTACAATATTGTACCAATACCAACCACTATGGATATGTATAAAACAACTAGTTACATACTATGAATTATGGAAGACATATTTTTACGCAAACAATTACAATTTAACAAAATATATAAATCATAAATATTGAGGAAACATCGGAGAAGACCAGCTGATTATTTGTAAACATTTATATCTAAATTGAACAGAAAACCTGCAATATTAGAAATTAAGAAATATTACATATTCAAAAAGGGCAAAAAATAAAAATTTGTGGGCAACCTTATTAGTCTATATGGTTTTAACATTAATGTTAAAAGTATATATCTTAATTCTTTTTTATTTATTTTAAAACATTACTTAAAAAGGTAACTTAAGGTCGCTAATTACTTTGTTAGTCACTAATTACTTAACCAAATTGACCCATGTTTAATCTTCATTAATAATCACCACTGAATAATAATGTTACAAGATGGAGCAATATGTGGATTAAATTAAAGGGAGTTAATTGAGCTTGTCACTACCGGTAACATTAAATCATCTTCTATAAGAGATTCTCAGAATGTCAAAACGATTAGTTACAAAAAATATGTAAAGAACCGGGGTTATTTTAAGAAGTTACTTAAAAAATAAAACAATCTGATATCAATTACAGATTTGTAAAAAAACAAATAATATTAATATATGATATTAAATAATTTTCAAAGTATCAATAATATGCATTAGTATATTTTGTGATGATCTATAATTCTATTGTTTTCAACTACTTTTTGATTTAACACCGTTCTTGACAACACCATTGGCATTATGGTCCTTTAAATGCTGAGGTTTCTTGTAAGCTTTAATGTAGAAGTCAGCAAACAGGACAAGAAATATAACTGCATATGCTCCAATCCAATACACAAATATCATAGAATAGTTACAATCAATAAACAGAAGTTGTGATGCATGAAGTGCTACACATATAAACTGGGTCTGAAATTATGAAAATAACAATTTTAAATACTATATCATTTATATAATTTATAATCAAGTCACTATTTTCACATTCGTCTAACTACAAAGTCAAGGTTATTTTTATTTAAGAATCTATTTCAAATTCACATATCGCAGTATACATGTCAAGACTCCTTAAAAGAAGTTTTCAAATGGCGTTTAATATTGTTCATCAGGTTATAAGGAAGAAGGAGCAGCGGTGGCTAAGTGGGTAAGATGCTGGTGTGCACATAAAAGATCCCTTGGCAGTTGGAATTCAATATAAGAATAGACCATAGTGCTGCTGCCCGGGCAAAATTTTCTTCATAGCATACTGTATGCCTTACGCGAGTCTTCATTAGCCCAGTCGGAGCAGAACAGTAGGTTGTTAAATCCCATTTCATTTTATAAGGAAGTAAATATAAATCTTGAATGTTTTGCCAATTTATATTTCTGTTCAAATTTTCACTGTGAGAGCTTCGGATTTTTTTTCTTCTCTAAAAATCAATTGAAACTGCACATTACTCTGCCCAAGCAAACAGTGTATTAAGCCATACTGAAATAAAACTCACAATCTGTAGCTTTGTCATGTATTTTTTCCACCATAGATATTTCTGGAATTCTGGTCCTAGTGCTGCTACACCATAATAGGTATACATCAAGAAATGGATAAAGCTGTTTAACAAGGCATGAAAAGTTCCAAATCCACCTGTAAACAGAGTTTATAAATTTAATAGTCTCAACTACAGGTATAATCTTTTCGGCATTTGATTGTGTTCAGTGAGAACAGTGCTGACAAAATTGCTGAAACCTGTGTCTTAAGTTTAAATTAAGCAATAGATTCTGAACACTTTATCACAGCTGGTTTAGTCTTTCAACAGTTGTTAACCTTACATACTAAAAGTTTAAGAGACAATTTATTCCCTGAACAGTGATCAAACGTCCACTCGACACAAACTAGACCATTTTTGGGACTAACATGGTTTAACTTTAATTCAATATTTTACTTGCGCGTAGGGGACTTGAGCAGTGGGAAGAAACCAGTGGACCCAGAGAAAACCCACGAGGTTGAACAGGCAACCCTACTCCTTGTCACGTACAACAGGGGAATGGAAACCGCGTCAGTTGACTCAATGACAGACCTTATGATACAGCGTGCATGCGCTAATCATTCGCCATCCACCCCCACCCCACCCCCCTGTGGCAATGGAAGCTAAATGACCGTACTGTCGGAAGTTGACCCAATTGTGACAGGTTTATTTCAAAAAGGACTAATTATCGCCCAAATGATTATACCTGCAGCAAATTTAACCCCAAACCACCAGGAGAACGGCATAACACCATGATGAAATACATGTAGAAACGACACCTGGTTAAACTTCTTTCTTAATAAAAAGAAAACCTGAAAGAAAAAAAGTTTACATTTAGTGCCTTTACACAATCATTTACAGTGTAACTTAACTGGTAAAATATCACTTATTAAGTGCAATCTGTAATATTTCCATATCATTCTACAGACTATACATGCCCTTCAAAAACAGGTGATTTTGGATTGGTCACTAGGGATGATGATTTTCCGTTTCAGAAAATAGCAAATTCGGTTTTAAGTATTTCTAATTCCGTTATTTTCCGTTTCAGAGCTGACCATATTCCGTTTCTTCAAGATAAAATGTTATTTTAAGAATACATGAATAAAACATCTTAAAATGCCTTTTATTACAAAACGGATCATTTTAAACCAATGATAACAAATGTTGAATTGTGAATGACTTGTAATGTTCAATGACTAGTTATTCTTTAAACCTGTTTCCCGAATTAAATAACAGAAAATTACATCTTGTGAGCTCGTTTCATCTTTTTAGCAGACGAAGCCATTTTTCTCAGCTGCTAGTTGTAGTCGCGATTTATCCAGACATCTTCGTAGTTACTACCGTTTCATCGAGAATAAGGGCTGGATTCACAAGGCTACGGCATATTTGTGATGTCACGTGGTTAATGCGGATAAATACGAGTCACGAGCCCGGCAGTAAAATAAGAAGTAAATGAAATGATTTTTACTTTCATGAAGTGACAAGGTTTTTTTAAGACATATATATATACATTACAATGTTTAATTCAAGTTCAACTACAGAGTAATTGTATACAGGGATACATGAAAGACAGGTTTTCGTTTCGAGTAAAATTATGATTCCTAAATGATGAAATGAAAGTAGTTAAATACTAAAATAGACAGTAACAAAACCATGCGATATCGTTCAATATTTCCGATTTTTTATGAATAAAAAGATGAAATACTTGGATAACTGCAAAATTGTTTTGACTTTGTGTTTAGTATCAGCAAATATCGGCTTTTCAGTCTTTTTCCGTGTGCGATTTCAAAATCCGTTTTGAGTGGACAATTCCGCGATTTCGCATTTTTTCCGCGATCACGGAAAATCATCACCCCTAGGTCACCCATATTGAAGTTTAACACAGACATGACAGGCATTGTTTAATCCAATCAATATCTAAGCCATCTAGAAAGTTGATAAGCTGGTCATGTGAATAAATTTCTAAATATTAATTTATATAACGTTTGAAGCCCAAAAAATTTAAACAAAGGCAAAGTTAGCTCCATAATATGGCTCTATGATGAATTCACATAAAAAATTTACTTACTGTATCTAATAATTCAATAAATTTTGAAAAGTAAAAGAGCCAACAAACTCTTACCATCTGAAATGAAATATGACATTATTAAAACCTACAGCGGCAAATTAAGCTTGGGTCTAAAAAGTAGAAAACATTTTTAATGCGGAATGGCAATGTTGTTTATCCTGTTCAACTTATTATAAATATATAATGTAATTTCCTTGTTTACCATGAAAAATTATAACTGATTTATACTTGAATTCATTGTTAAAAAATTACCACTGATTGATTGGTTGAAGTTTAATTATCACTGTTCAAGAAGTTCTAACATAAAATAATTCAAAAGGAGCTAATGACACAGTTATCCCCCCTGACACCATGGTTTGAAAATACCCAGTATTATTTGAAGTGAAGACCATTTTGTTTTCAAGATTATCAAAGAACTGTTACTTACCCTCATGGCTTTTGGTGTATTTGAATAATCCACCGGTTGACATCCATAACTATAACCAGTACCCCAACCAGATAATAAAAACTGAAATATATATATTACTATCACATTCACATGGGCAGGTTGTCAAAAAAAAAATGGGGCAAAAACTTGGGTATTTCAGGTATAATTCAACAGATGCATTCTGAACAACAATTATTAACATGAAAATGAATCTAAAAACTAATTTATAAAAAAAACATTGAATCTACTGGGTTATCATGAAAATACCAATAGGCAAATCTGAGCAACAGTAAGCAAAAGAAAAAATCAAATTTTAAAAAGTGATACTGTTTCAAATTATATTCATGGACTGAACAGTTATCTGACAATATCAGATATTGATATAGTTATAATCAAAGACTTTATTCTGATCGTCAAGTAACCTTTCCTAATCTGTTTTCTCGACTTGTAATGTGAACAGCTTAAAATGTTCCAGAAAACTGACACTACATTTATATGGACAAATTCCGTAATCCCTAGAAACAAGTTTGACCAAACTGTATACAAAGTCAAAGGATTTACCACCCTTTATCAATTGGTTCATTCATCATATATCATTATCAACTACCACCCTTTAACAACTGGTTCATTTACCACCCTCAATCAATGTGTCATGGATTAAATCTTTATACCTTGCATACAGCCTTTCTTGTCAAGTTTGTGAATTGGGAGAGAGAAAAATGGGGTTAAACATCCACTCGACACAAACTAGGTCATTTTGAGAATAACATATGATTCAATTTTATTTCAATAATTCGCATGCGCGTAGTGGCCTTTAGCAATGGGAGGGAACCAGAGGACCCAGAGAAAACTAACAAGGATGGACAGGCGATCTTACTCCGTGTCACATACAAGCGGGGAATGACAGACCTTATGATACAATGGCCATCCAACCCCACTTGTTGATTGGAGATTACTACTGTATGGATTATTTTTAGAAGAATGGCCCCTTAATATACTAGCAGTATACTATTTGTAGTACTTATAGATTAGTTTAATCATTACAGTCTCAGGGTCTTATTTGGACAAAATGTTCTGTTGGACGATTCTATAATAATTTTAGGATTTGTAAAAACAACATACCTCAACAAAGATATACCCTGATAATATAACCATAGAAAAATTGTAAACAAGTAACAGATTCTTTAGATCCATAGGTTTTCTATTTGCCATAAAAGTTGGACCCAATCGTACAAAAATAAAGTAGGCAACACAAATTAAAATGCTTGGCCATGGTGATGACATTAATACCCAGCCGTCAACTCTAGAGTCTGAAAATAAGAATCAGAATGTTTACCACTTCAGGTTAAATTCATAATGAATACCAATGAAGTTGTGAGAAATTTAATATATAGATATGCAGTGTTTTTTTTAAACAGTATCAAAAATATGCTGCACATCTTGAATCTCAAGAACATCATTTACATTAATGTGAAGAAACAGTTTTAGGAGCAGGGAGTTATGTGAATACCTCCTCAATGTAGCATGGTCTAACCTTGTTCTTGTATTCAATGGGACTGATTTGAAATGATTTTTTCTGGACAGTGTCATTTTCACCCACTCTTCACCTAATGCCAACAGTCAAGGGTTCCTTTTCGTGCATGCATTATGTACATTGGATCTCAGTTTTCTGTCCTATCCAAACAACTAGACAGGCAGCAGTTGGTTGGCAGGCCCTCTGTCCTGCACTACTTCCAAGGGGAAACCTGATATAGTTTAAATGCCACTTGAGTTTCTTCTCAAAATGGCACATGCTTGTCGTGCAGTCGGCGGTTCCCTTATCTACCTCTCAGCTATGGCACAACACAGAAGACTAAGAAGGTGTTGATGGGATACATTCTAGAATGATGCTAACACTTATTTAATTGATTATATCCAAAATGCAAGGAATATAAGTCAATAAAAATAGCTGTTTCAAGAATATTGTGGCAACTGAATGAAACAGTGGTTTACATTTATTATTCTGCACCAAACATACAATTAAACATAGGCAAATTTTGAAGGGAGAGTCGCACTACAGAACACTGTTACATGCATTTCAATGTCCACTCAAGTTATAAAAAGAAGGGGAAATTTTTCTCCCAAGCACTGTGACACAGCATAGCTTCTATAAATATACCACTTTACAATATTAATTGATTGTTACCTGCTTTGGTCATCAGCTCATCATACATCTTAACAGCATTAGTAAATATATTGGCCATTTTTCTATGTTGACTTAAGGTATGTTACTTACTACTTTACCCTAAAAATATACAATTATAGTATAAATCACAAAATTCAAAAAAAAAAACCATCTGAATTATACATGTATAAAATCACAGGTTCTCTGTCTTTACCAGTAACTCAGCCGGTGCCAATAATTTGGTTGTCAATCACCTACATGTACCCAGTTCAAGGGTTTACTGCTTTTGTGATCATTTTATAGTATAGCATTAGCCATACTAATGATTGTGTACTAATTAATAACAGACTGTCTGCATGTATTACCATTTTAATCAAAATACTAATCATAATTACAGGTAGATTAATTAAATTTTTAAATCACAATTTCTTGCCACCATGGTTCACAGGCAATCAAGATAATTATTCTTATTCGATTTTCAATTACCCTAAAGGCTATACATAAGGCCATACAACAAAAATATGCTGGTAATATACTGGTAAACATCACATTTCAAGGTACTACATCCCGAATGTTTGATTATCTAGTATAATTTAGCCGTGAACATTTTCGGATTCATTTGGGGAAAATACCTATGCGCAGTAATTTATAACTGTTTTTATCTTTTAATAAAAGAAATGGGTCATGCAACCCATTTCAAGTGAGAAACAGAAATTTTTTTTAAACTGCCTAAATAATCAATTTGAATGTACTGTGAGTATATCAGTCTTTAATCAGATTAACATTACAAACCACATTCTTATTTACTGAATGTTCATAGTACAAAAAAATGCTACCCAATAACCCAAACTTGTCCACACTTCACCTACATGTATGACATTTTAAATTTTATACATGGCTGTTTTATCTTCAATCTTTAAAACTTAAAGGCTCCTTTATAAAAAGGAGATGGTTCAACTGTTTCTATTTTCTAACAAATGACGGTGAGAGAAAGGGGTTCAACGTCCCCTCAAACTAGGTCAGTGTTTCAATTTTATTTCAATAATTCTCTTGTGCGTAGGGGTCTTTAACAGTGGGAGGAAACTGCAGAAAACCCACATGGTTGAACAGACGGCCCTACTCCTTGTCAAGTACATGCAGGGAATCGAAACCATGCCACTTGATTCAATGACAGACCTTCTGATTCAACGTGCACGCATTAACCATTCGGCCACCCAACCCCCCCACAAAAGATAGGCTCAAAATAAGCGTACAGACTTTGTGCATTATACCAAACAAAAACTGCTAAAGCAATAACTTTAAAGAATGAAGAAGTGTTATGGCAGCCAACCCAATCCAATTGTCGATTGCTAATTATATTTGTTATCTGTGAAGTTGTCGCTGACATACCTGGTGGCTAATGAATGACCCGAAGTGCGTGTCACTGGTGGCAGAACTACCAGATTTTTCAATATGTTGTCCCCCAGTTCAAAAATCAGGTATGTGTACAATCCGAATGACTAATCAGGCTGACCTTAAAAATATCTTTTTTTCGCCTAACGCGACCGACTAACTAAAACCACCCCCGACTTAAATTATTTTATTGCACTTTTCCGCGATCTTTTTATTTTATTTTGTGTGTCAACCTGAAATATATCACGAGAGTTATTTCCCTTTACTATGGCTATGGTTTGATTCATTATTGAAACTGGTTGATCAAGACGAAAGCGTCATAGGTGTCGCTTCTCAACAAAATGGTTGCAGACGAAAGCACGTCCATTCCCACGAAATGATTCTGCCTCTATGTCTGTGGGGCGTCGTTTTAAACATGACGATATTTTCAATATCCGTTTTCGAGAAAAATAAAGGCACAACCCACACGATCGTTAAAAACGTGTTGAGGGAGTTTCAAACGTGAGTTTGTCGCAATTTGTGTGCGAGTCGTGCATCAAGAAAAATCCCGATGTCATTGATTTGTTTGCCAATAAAAGAAGACGAATGTTTGCACCCGGAAAACTATCAAGCTGTCAAATTAGCTCTTAAAAAAAAAAATCTGAAAAAAAACCCCGACCTACCGACCCTTCTCCTCGATTGTGGGTCGGGTTTGGTGAAACAAAGATATTTTTAAGGTCAGCCTCATTGTTCCTTGCCGGGCCTTCTCCACCCGGCACAACTGACCAGGTTGAAAACAGCCTGGAAAATCCTGAAGTACTTTCCCTGCCCACACCGGGATCGAACCTTCCAGTTAGTGAGTCAGGTGCTTGCTCACTGAGTCACTGTGGCTGCCTTCAGGTTTTTGACATGTTATTAAATTAAATGTTCTAATATTATGATAGTGGTACTTGAATAACCTGTCCTAATTATAAACAAATGACTTTTTACATTTAATCATGACAGCCTTCAACTTGAAAGAATAACAAGGATCCCATCAGTTGTAAAGCTTACAATGTTTTTTTTTTAGAGAATTCTGTTCTTAAACTTCATTGCCAACCAAGTTTTCAGCACAAATAATGCAGTGATACATCGTAATAATATGAATTGGATATTCCAAATATTCAGAGACCACATGCAATATAATAACAGCTTCACCTATATCTACATGACTACATATAATCGAAACATAACACATAAATAATTAGTTACCTTTTTGTTTATCTTATCATAGGATAAGCTTATATATCAATACAAAAACTTATGTGTTATCGCTAATTGTCTAGGGCAACAGAATTAACTTATGAATCATTAACAATGAATATATAACCTTACAATATATCTTATATAATAAGGTTATATATTCATTGTTAATGAACCATAATTTCATTGTTTAATGTTATATGATTTATATCATATAAATCATATAACATTAAGCAATGTCAGCGGTAAAACAATAAGGAATATTAAAGATGAATTATGTAAGAATTAGATAAAGAACTGACCATTCTTGTTATAACAGATCAATAAAGAAAAATGAATATAGAAAATTTCAGTCAGATTACTTTAATCTGTGCATGTTTGAAGTTTTGACAAAATGTAGCATAGATTGTTTATCTATTTTATCGTTAAAACTCTTAAACAGTCACAGTGTTCTTATCTACTTAAAATCGGAGCCCAGAGAGTTGATTATGAGCTTGTCATGTTAATAAATGCTTAAATAATTATTTATATAACACTTGCGAATCCTGAAAAAAGACCGGCAATAGACAGATTTAGCTATTCCAAAATAAATAACTGTAAAATCTTTTGATTTAGATTGTCTAGAGAAGTTGCATAGAATTATAAGTTACGTGTACACATATTTTGTATTACATGTATTTAGGAAAATATCAAATCTTACAGTTATTTGATTTAATTATTTGATAAATTTACTTGTTCAAGGACACATAGAGATATTAAATCTTGGTATCTAAGCTAACACAAGAATTAAGTCTTAATTAGAGAGAGAGAGAAATTGGTTTTAACGTCCACTTGACACAAACTAGGTCATTTCGGGACTAACACATGGTTCAATTTTATTTCAATAATTTGCTTGTGCGTAGGGGTCTTTAGCAGTGGGAGGAAACCGGTGGACCCAGAGAAAACCCACGAGGTTGGACAGGCAACCCTACTCCTTGCCACATTCAAATGGGGAATAGAAACCCCACCAGTTGACTCAATGACAGACCGTACGATATAGCGCGCGCGTGCTAACCATTCGGCCATCCAACCCCCCCCCCCAAGTCTTAATTAAAAATGACTTGAATGAATTCAGTGACATTAAAATATTTGATTGGCATTTAGTAATTGTGTTAAAATACTCTAGAGTATTTTAGTTATTACCGTCTTATACTTGTAACTTCTAAAGCAAGACCTTTTTTCTCCTTCCACAAGTGCAGTAATTATTAATTTATTAGCCTGATAATACCAAGATATGCTTGATTTATTATGATCTGTTAAGGGAAAACCAATTTACCTTGACAGCTTTTGAGTACGACCTGTCCTACATATACTTATTACTATAACATGTCATGTATTGTATGATACTATAGGTAGACTACCCCCAGTCAATGGTTACCAAAACAAAGTATGAAAATATTAGTACAAACAAACACATATAGATCTAGTAAATGCCAACAGAAAATGACCCTGCCTTGGCTTGTCACTATTCATTGGCTATTCATCCAGTAATAGGATTATAGGCAATGCTGCTTGTCTGTGTTAGTGGCAATCAAAATGTGCTCTTATTTCGACAATTGTGGTCTGTATAGTATTAGTAAAGGAAGTGAGTGATATCTCACCGGCTACTGTACTATCCATTATGTACCGGTACGTCGAAAAGTGTCGAAGTGGGCTAGATCATAATGATGAGCTCTTGTCACACCCTAATATTTGTAAAAATTTTAACCGCGATTAATAGATCATCCCTAGTTTGATGGTGTGAATTCTGACAGATAGTTGTAAAATGCAACTCTGAAAACGACCGGTCCAAAGACAGCGAAAAAATGAGATAATAATTGAGCAATTGCCGCATTAGTAAGCTCTCCATGCTCTTTCGAAACACATGCCTCGCCCAGTTAAAAGAAAAGTGCATATCAACATTCACTAAAGATATACCTGTCGTGGTGATAGTTTGGTAAATTAGGATTCTGAAATTCTTCGTGGGCTATTTAGAATCCGCCTGCGCCCACCGCCGTTAAGAGTTGACAGCAACTACCACACCGCTTTTCACGCTAAAACGACAAATATGTACGTAGACTCGATTATCCATAGAGCGTTAAGCGCGGAATTCGGTTGATGCTATATCGTATCTAGCGAAATACCAAAAAGGGGAGGAGCTACCAATAGCTAGCAGAGCAGAAATTCTAACGTATTAAGTAGGCGTGAATTAAGAAGCATAACCGCACCTTGACATGATCGGTGAAGGTCGCTTTCTGCAAATGGCCACAGATCACTAAACATTTGCCCATTGACTTTAATGTTAATTCTCGTCTCTTAGACCGGCTCTAACTTTTTCCCAAATTTTCGTTGGGTAGAACGCTTTCTACCACAGATGGAGCAACATGTGGCAACCTCTTGCCCAAAAGCACGTATGGGGTTCACCATGAAAAACTTGAGATACACAAGCTTGAAGTAGAGACAAGCAAACATGCAATTTTGGACCCTACATTTCAACCTAACCAACCTCTCAACTCTTGTATCCTTCCGCCTCAAAATCATGAATATTCACCAAAACCTGGTAGAAAATGTATTTTCAAACCCTTTTCTTCGATTCTACACCAAAAGATCAACAAAAATCGCCATGCAAAAGGGGGAAAAAGGGAAAGGGAGAGAAAGACTAAAAATAACTTTATTTGGTGAGCTGTGTCCAAATGTATCAGCGAAATGGCGATAGCACTTGCCAACCGACAATTCGGACAATTCGATTAGGAGAGAGAGAGAGAGAGAAATGGGGTTTAACGTCCACTCGACACAAACTAGGTCATTTCGGGACTAACATATGGTTTAATTTCATTTCAATAATTCGCTTGCGCGTAGCTAGCTGGTCTTTAGCAGTGGGAGGAAACCGGAGGACCCGGAGAAAACCCATGAGGTTGGACAGGCGACCCTACTCCTTGTCACGTACAACCGGGGATTCGAAACCACGCCAGTCGACTCAATGACAGACTTTATGATACAGCGCGCGCACGCTAACCATTCAGCCATCCACCCCACACCCCTCCCTCCCAATTGGATTAGAAAGCCGAGAAATATATTAAAGCGACAGAAGTACACGCGACGACACAAATAGTATAACACAAAAGACCGGGAATTTCAATGCTTCAGGTAGGAAGCGTCTTTTGATATCGATATGTAGGCCTATAATGTTTTGCCAAATTACGCATTGGTCATTGGACGTGGTTTCCCTTTGCCAGTGGTGCTGGACGGAGGGCCTCACAAGGACAACTGTCTAGTCGTTCGGATGGCACGAAAAACCTAGGTCCCATCCATACATTGGCGTACACGTAAAGCATCCCTTGGCAGTTGGAATTCGATTTAATAGCCTAAGGGTATAGGCCATAGTGCCGCTGCCCGCTGGCTAAATTTCCCCCATTGCACACTGTAGGCTATGGCTTATCAGTCGTTGTTGTTTGTATTTCAGATGAGAGCCAAAAAAAGCTCCCCTCAATCAACGAATTGAAAAAAATCCCTCCCCTCAAAAAACTCTCTCAGTTTTGATAAGAAGAGTGATTTAGAAATTAAGGAGAGTGATCTGATATTAAGGAGAGTGATTAGTTATGTGCATGGGAAATGGTTCTAAGATCAATAACTGCATGTAATGGGGTCATTCCTGGCTTCATAAATGATAATAAATCCCCAATGACTATGTAAAGGAGAGCGATTTTCAGTTTTAAGGGAAGGAAAAAAAAACTCCCCTCGGTCGACATTCAGGTGCTCGAGAGCGATCACTCGCCTTAAAAAAACAATGACTGGCGTATGCCCGTCTTCATTAGCTCAGTCTGAGAAGAACAGTAGGACGTTAAACCCCATTTCATTTCATTTTGCCAAATTACATTTTTCATTTTAGATTCGTTGTGTTTTTGTTTTCAAAATGTCCGTCAAATAGCTCAAGTCAAAATGTGATTTCCATTTAAGCGATTTCATGTAATAAAAATTACTTAGTTGCAACTACCAAACTTGATGTAAATTTGGCGGTTATTTTATCTATAGTATCATCTACATCCCATACATCGTCCCAACCAATATTAGATATATCATGATTCAACTAGCGAAAATGTGCTCGTTTATATAAATATATTTTACTTTGAAAACTTTTATTATGATAGATATGAATATCAAGATGAATAAAAGTAGCAAAGTGATCCGAAATATCGATAGGAACTTCCAGAGTATCCACTGTGATATAATTAATACCAAGAGAGATAATTATAGGATCTAATAATGTACTTGAAATTTCGGTTATCCTCGTAGGTTTTGATAATATTTCGGAGAATAAAACTGGATACGTTTGTGTTAAAATCCCTTAAAATCCTCTACCTTAGGACCGAGCAACTAACTCAATATATTTGGCACGTTTTCAAACAACTTAAACCCGTCAGTCTTAATCTGGAAGTGGGGACCGGTGCCCCAAGCTGTATTCTGTGGTGTCTGGATAAAACCAGACTTTTATTTTATAAGAATAATGTGTAGGTGAAATTTACCTTTCGTTATCAAGTACAGCACTTGGGTCATTCACTGTATAAACCTCTAAAGGAACGGGAATCGATTATCAGGTCACCCAACGAAAGAATTGACCCAAAATCTTAAAAGGGCTACGTGTCCGGATAAGCAGTTTTGACGTTCACGTCCAAATGCCTCAATATTTCGAGCTGAAATTTTGAGACAGGGTAAATACACCATTCCTTTATATTTTGGCGCTTGAGTAGGGAGAATTTCTTTGAAGAAATGTTTAGTATGTAGCTTCAGTGCCGGACTAAGCTCATTAAAAAAGAAAAGAGTGGGCCTAAGCCTATAAAGAAAAAAGAAAAAAGAGAAAGAAAAAAGAAAAGAGAAAGAAAGGAGAGAGGGGGCGGAGGAAAGAAAAGAAAGAAGGATGGACAGGACAGGGCAGGACACAGGACAGGAGAAAGAAAAGATAGGAGAAAAATGACTGACAAACAACACAAAAAAGAAGTGTACTAGAATTCTCAAATTCATCTAATGATAGTGCTCTTAGGTCATTCTGTTATCTAATTGTATCAGGAAATCAAAAATTTGCCTTCTTCTGTTTTGGTCTGAAATGCTTGGAAACTGGGTTTGCGGTTGTCAATTTTCAAACCTGGGGGGGGGGGGGGGGGAGAAACCTCCCTGATCCCGCTCGGACGCTCGCGCGTACTTGTGTAGCTTAGTCAGTATTTTGGACTTGGGTGGACACTCACCATGTGGTAGGTTATTCCCTATGACGTCATCAAAGATGGCCGCCGACGTTATTTCAATTTTACCCTACCTGCTATAGTTTTCTTTCAATATCTATGAAATAAAAGTCAGAGTGAAGCTGGCTGTGTGAATTATACTGCATCTCATAGATCACAAGACATTTCACCAAAATAGTGAGGCATTCTAATTTCATCGCCTATGCCTTTGCACCATTTTTAGCCGTATTGAGAATTATTTATGATATATCCAGTTGTTAAGAATTTAAGTTCTCTTATTCGTTCAGAAATGATAATGTGGTCCGTTTTTATATTAAAGACTATATGCCCGGCAACTCTTGTCGTATAGTCTAGTAGGCCTGCAGCCAAAAGTTTTAGCTTACTTAAAAACAGAGTTCTGCTAAACCCTACTAAACAAACTATACATTTTTGGAAAGCTTATAACACCAGGAACACACATCCAAGCAAAATGTTTTAAGGCCAGATGAAAATTGTGATAATTGTCAAGTAAATGCTATAAGTATACTGACAATTGTGAAGTTGACATAAAATTACACATATGATACCTATGATAGGACGGGCTTATCTTTGCTCCGTGAGGTGAACGACAGGGTTCTCTCCATCCAGGCCTGAATTCTTTTTTTTGAAAAAACTGACTGTAAATGGTGCTTTCTAGAGTATATCCTGGTGTTTTTAGCTTATGCACATATCTTAATAATTCATCAAAAACGACGTAAATTCATGACTACGCAAGAACATTAACTAGTTTAGGGACCCCCAAAACTACCATACTCCTTTTGAGTGTCCATCCTTGAAAAGGGAGACGAAAGGTATGACGTTTAAACGTGTTTCAAATTCGTATATTATTTTACAATTAAATAAAAAAAAAAAACTGTTTCCTTTTTATCCACTGAATAATTTATTGTTAGGTCGTGTAGAAAGATATGGTGCTTAAACGTGTTGCAAATTTCTGTATTACATGGTAGACTTTAACTTATCATATAAACAATTGGTATTTATTTTAAAAGTATAAAACATGTTTCTGTTTTATCGAATGAACAATGTATTGTTAAATCGCGTAGAAAGATATGATGTTAAACATGTTACAAATTAACAACTGGTATATTAGTCGAGTATTCCAGTAAAGAATTTTTAAGTTGAAGGGAGAGTCCTGTTTAAATGTGTATTTTCATAAATTTTGTATGCAGATAGATTATTATACTGAATGTCCGTCTAGAAAATAAGATTTTGTGTGAAACAGGTGTCCTAAAAAAATGGGTTCACTAACATTAAATATCTGGTTCTACAAATTGTATTTGTCCCTTATAAGCTAATTCCTGTGCGGCACAAACCTTCCCGTTTCATCAATAAATAGTTCATTTTTAGAGATCAATTTTAAATTCATTGGCTACGAAAACCCTATATATGATATATCACAAGTCTTACCTTGCGTGATACTCACCCATCCTAACTATAAATTCGTTTTTCGTTAAATTTTGTCGGCCATTTTTGAAATCAGACAGAGCCCCAACCGAAAATGACGTCACAGAAGTGATATAATCTCAAAATTGTCTTCAGTGACAAATTTTGACACAGAAACAACCCGTCCCCAAATATCGTTAAGTTTGCGGTCACCGCAGCTGTACAAGGAGGACCAATGGGCGTATTTATTTATGCCAGATGAATAACTTAAGAAGACCCCACGCATAATTTGTCTATAATTACTCTGAATTTTTGAGAAAAAAAAATGCCAAAACGTTGCTTTTTCCAGAATAATCTGTTGATTTGGAAAATATATGATTCACTCAACAACAAGTATCATATAGCAGCAGATGTAGCATTGCCTTGCGAACATTGTGAGCCAC